GCTAACCTGGAACATTGCCTCCTGTGAAATAAAGCACTTGATAAATATTTCATGTTTTCCTTGAGCCCCCATACAAGATAGGGATCAAATTGTGCCAGATCGACTTTCGCAAAATAAAAGGTAAAGTGTCCAGCGCTCGGACTGAAGACTCAGAGTTGAAGCTACAGGAGAGTCACAATAAAGCACCATGCAGATCCTTCCTTCAGGGGTTTCTGTGTTTGTCATCTGTTTGCTGGGACACTGCTTACCTTTGGTTGCAAAGCTTGCAGTGGGAAAAACATCCATCTAAGACAAAACATGGGTTACCACCCCTACAAGTGATTTTGGAACTTTTCTTTAGAGTCTCAGTGAACCACTGGAGTAGAGTCTAACCATCATTTTATATTTTTTGCAGGTCTAGGGAATAACCAACATGAAAATTCTCCCAAAGGTGCCTTGATCTTGTTCTCTCATATACCTAAAGTTACTCTCACCAGCTGTGCTCCCATTCCAGGAACCGACCCAACTTTACACATTCAGAAGGAAAAGTCTCTAAGGCCTTTGTGTCATTCAGTAGATTTGTTCTTAATCACCTGCAGAGTGCTCTGTTCTGAACGAATGAACACAGAGGCACTCACACATTGTAGTCTGTATAGTACATTGAAAGAGTTAAATACTTTAGAATTACAAAATACTTAACTCAATGTTATTGAGATCAGATTCTTTGGTCATAAAAAGATAAATTCATAAAGTTATTTGAGAAACTATCATTAAGATCTAATTTCACATTTAATAAACTTAATATATTCACCAGTACACATTATGTGATGTTATTTAACTGGAAAAGGAAAAAGAGTGATATATGACCATTCATCAGTTATTTGGACAGCACTGTAACTCAGAGACTAGTTTCCAATGTAGAAGACGACATCATCCATAATTTAATTTAATTTTTAACGTCAAATCAAATAGAATGTCTTTTTCCTCTCTCCAAAAAGGGATACATCTTTCAAACTAGGCTGTAGTGTCAACATAGAAATTAGAAGCCACATGCTTTGGATCTGATTTTTTTTTTGTAGGCCACTTGAGAGCTGCCTGATAGAAGATTGGTTCTTAGCCAAGGAGTTAGAGTTACTGCCTCTGATCTCTCAGAGCCAAATTCTCCCTGCTTTCTAGCAAAGAGGCCTTCCTTTCCACCTCAGGAAATGTCTGATGCAATGTGCTTCAAAGGGCTGGCTGGCTTCCTAGCTCACAGATCTCTAGCCTGGTACTTGGCACAGGGCTAGAGACCAGGAGCCATGCCATGTTTGAGGATAAAATTCTCTTTGGCCAAAGGGGTTATAAAGCAACAAAAACATAGCACGCAAAGGCTGCAAACTTCTACCCTTGGCTTTCAAGAGCCCCATTTAGATGCATTTGCAGGAAATTTCAGCTCGGTACATTTCTGACCCCTTGGTCCTTGAAAACAGTAGGATTTTTGTTTTCAGTTTAAGCTGCTGCTTACCACAAGGCCTCACGAGTTGGTGGATCACTTGATTAAAGACAGTATAAGTGGTTAGTGGTAGGGGCTGCATCATAAGAGGGGCATTAAAAGACTGAGGGCTGTCCTGGGCAAGGTCACAAGAACCATTAGGAATGTGGAAAAACATAGGCCATGGAACAAAATCTGGGAAGACTGGGGTCGTAAAACCTGGAGTAAGGAAGCGTCATTCATTCCTTCCACAATGCTTGCCTTTCTCATCTAGTAGGAATCAGTCAATCAATGGAAATAGTTGCTGATGGCTTGCAATATGCTAGGCTCCAAGATGAGTACAACTGCAGCAATGTGCAGGTTCTTCAAAATATATTACAACAAAGCTTTTCTGTTGTAGGAAATACCAAGAAAGTACTCGCCAAGTTTTGTTCAGCATTTTCTACAATCTTCCAGCCACCAGTCTATAATGTTTAGGTTTTTTTTTTTTCTGTAACTCTCTTGGAACAGAAAAAAAGTCCTCCTTGCATTATTATTCAGCAATTCCCAATGACTCAGACACAGTCTCTCTTTCCTGCTGGAAACCATGGAGCAACTCCTCCCTCCTCCTCAGTCTAGGACTCTCAACTCTATTCCTGCTGGATAACTTCTTGGTTCTTATGGAGTGTGAGGAGTTTCTACCTTACAGGACAACCTCCATTTTTTGGGGGAAATATTTTTTGCCTTACACTTCCATATATAAGGACCTTATTGAAATTGAAAATGTCTGAGTTTATTCTAGCATGGGTTTTGGCTTGAATGTTAGAGCTACGTCCCTATCTTGGTAATACAGCAGGTGCTGTGTGCACACTATTGCCCATGACTGTGGTGAACAGACTTCTTTTTTAGATAACAAAAGGCACAGCATTTACGTTGCGTTCCAAGGAAAGCAATGGTGGCTTTTTTTCCCCTAATATTCTAAGTCCTTTATTACATCATTATGACATAAGAACAGCCAGAGTTGAGAGGCATTTAGAATAGGAACACAGGTTACAAATCAAAACCCCTGGGTTACAAAAAGGAAGAAGAGAGACCACAATGAAGTTCTGCCCAGCCCCAAACCTTCCTCCGCTCCGACACTTCGTGCTGCTCTCATTCATGTTTATCACTAGTAAAATATAACAGAATGGAATCAAAAAGCTTCATTTCCAGATAATAGGTTTAATGTCAAGGGTAACCTTTCAATTTCAGAAACATTAACTCTCCAATCCAATAAAAAAAAAAAAGAATCTATTTACTGAGCATCTCATGCTAGGCACTGTGGAAGGGCTCTGGCTGTGAAAACAGAGGCAACAGGGTCCTGATTCTAAGCAGCTTATATCATATTTAAGAAAGTCAGAAAGGATCATAAGGACAATAGAGTATTACAGATATGACAGAACACATGAAACATCCCAGTATACCCAAGGAAAGGACAGGTTATTTTTTTTTCCCGGAAAGTCAGAAAAGACCAACCCACCAATTGTTTAAAAGAAATTGTGTCCTCATTACACAGTACAATGGATTGACATTCATTTCTGCAATCAGGAAACATTCGTAAAATTCCACTGCACATTGGTCACTGCAGCTCACAGCCCCACCCTGTCTTCAGCACCTTTTCTCCTTGACCCACGCCAAATTACACCTTTATTTACAGGTCTCAGTAGGAAACTCCCATGTCTGGGCAAAATCCAACAGAGTGCCAATCTGCCAGCACACACTGTAGCTCCAGTTTCCAGCCCCTCTGCAGTTAGGGTTGGGCTGTGTGACTGAGTTCTGAGCAATAAAAAATGGAATTTCTGGCTGCCAGCCTTGAAAAGCCCTCAGATGCAACCTTCTAACCTTTTCTCTCTCTGTACACTTCTCCTTTCCTCCCAGTAAGCAGGGAAGACAGTACCAAAAAGTGAAGAGGATTGATTGCTTGGAGGGTCACCTATCTACACTGGCCATGTTGCACAAAGCAGTTTCTCTTGTATTGCCACTCAGGCTCTGGTACTGTCCCATTACAGGAGTCAATTCACGCTTAGTTAGTATGGCAGCATGAGAACACAACCGTTATGTTTCAGTTAAACTGGGAGTTTCCTGGGGTAGTGGTGTTGGATTGTGTAATGAAACTCCCAGAAGACAGGTTAAAGAAGAAAGAAAGCAGAAAAAGATTAGCCACCGAGAAAAACAAGGATGCAGGAAAAGGATACAGAAGCAATGATAATTCTTACAACAATTAAACTTTGTTAACAAAAATATGTGTGTTCCTCTGCAGTGTTGATCTTGCTCCAAGCCAGATTGTGCCCCAGCTTTGTCACTGATTTCCAAACCCCATAATAAGGTTATTATTTAGGAAACTTATTAGAACTTTTAGTCTTGCTTTAGGCTAATAGGACTCAGAATCCTGGATACCAATTACAGTCAGTAGACCCTACGGTTATTTCACATCCAGAAAAGCCCAAACTGCCAGGAGGCCTTGGAACCACACATGAGGCCCTAGAATATGGCATGATGCTGGACACCCAAATGTTTGCCATATGTGTGTGCTGATGGGTTTCAGGGCTGTGGACATGACTTGAAAATTACCTGAAAAAACTCTTTTTATTCACTTCTTTTTTTTTTAAGAAAAAAATATCTATTTTTATTAGAAAGGCAGATAAGATTTAGAGAAAACATCTGTGTGATGTTTTCTTCTTGTCTGTTTAGCCAGATCTCTATATGAAATACTTCATATTTGGAGGTAGGCTTTTGGCACAGCAGTTGAAATGCTGATTGCGACACCTGCATACCATAAGAGAGTGTGGTTGTGCTCGAGTCTTAGATCCATTTCTGATTCTAGCTTCCTGTTAATGCATATCCTAGGAGGCAACAGGTGTTGGTTCTAGTAGTTGGGTCCTTGTCACCTGTTTGGAAGACCCAGATTGAATTCCTAGCTCCTGAAACCGACCATTCCATTGCTACTATTGGGGATGAACTAGTGCTTTCCATATAAAAATAAATAAAAATTTTGAATATTCTCTATTATTGTTTAAATATCAGAGAATGATTATATCTCATTATGAAAAGAATGTGATATTTTTCTAATTGTTTATTTTCAAGAAAAAAGTATATAGAAGAGTAAGCTTCTAAGTAGGCAGCAGTTGGAATGTGTTGCTTAGGGAGTTAGTTATTCCATTTGCTTCAATTCAGCCACTTTCTCATCTTTGTGATTGAGTGTCTGACTGATTCAATCCAAAATACAAGCTATAGGGAGGCAGAAGGTTGGAAGGTGAATAAGTGATACCTCATTGTTGTTTTCCGTGGTATTTCTACCAACATCACCCTGATAATGACTGTCCACCCCGTGAGCAGCAGAAGAATGCCAGGAGCAGCAGCGCTAGTTTTAGTTTTCAGTCTTTCTCTTTCCCTACTCCTAGATGAGCCTTTAGAGGTCCAGCATCAGCTACCTGCATGCTCTTCTTAGAGTTCCAAGTTCCTGCTCCTCTAGCTTTCTGAAAAAGTTCCTTAATTCCTCAGGCAAGAGTGTCAATCAGGCTGCGCCCTCTTGTTTGTTTTCCAACTTGATGGACTTTTCCATCAAACTTCTGAGGCCCCAGTGACCACACTCCTTGCGTGTCTGGATCTCCACTTTGGGGTGCCCTCCCAGGAAGTGTCTACATCCCGTTCATCTCTTCTCCTTGCTCCCTGCAGCCCTCAGTGAGGTGAGTGCTTCCAGCAATCACTATACTGGGGATATTTTCCTTTGTAATTTACAGCATAAAGACACTGGTTACAACAACTACTTTAAGATCAGGTTTGCTAATTTGCACGCAGATTATGTCAACTTCTCAAATGTTCTTTCTTTTGTCTTATTCCTATATCCCCAGTTTTCAATAAGGAAAAGTTACCAACATGTGACAGTATTTGTGAAATGTAAAGGGTCTAAACTAATTCTCCTTAACTCGTTCTTACATTTGGTGCACTGTCCAAGGGGCAGTGTTATGGTGACACAGATACGGGACGGGAAAAGCTTTCCTGACCTGCATGATCTGGGAAAAGTTAGCCTCTAGGGAATAAACTTCCTGAAAATAGTAGGACACTTCAGCAAACTCACAGAAAATGAAATTAAAATATAACTTTAATTTGGTGAAAAAAAATATGAAGCCCACTCTGAAATCCATGCGTGGGAAGGCTCACTAGACGTTCTTGGAAAATGCATGTTATGAAAAACTATGCATGCATTTCAATTTTTTTTTTTTGCACCAAAAGTAAACTTACTTGTAACTTTATTTTCTACAGCCTTTATGAAATTTTCCTCATGTAGTTCACAGTTATTTCTAAATATTAAGTATTTACATGAAGGCATTTAACCATTTTAAGTGCTCTATACATTTAATCCTCATTACTTTTAGCAACTATTGTTAGGTGGCAGAAAAAAGGTGAGATAAAAAATGTAGAAAGAAAATAAATACTTGGAGAATAAAATATATATATATAATATGGAGAATGGTTTTATCCATTCAGAAATAAATGAATTCTAATTAGGAAAAAACTATGTATGTCCACTTTTTCCCAATTTATTCCATTCAATTGTAAATTCCAATCTACACAGCGAATATCCCTTCTAATAAAACAGAAACCGTTTATTAACATACAGCAAATACTGTTTATTGCAGACTTTTCGGCTGACTCGTGAAAAAGGCACTATGAAAATTAATGAATCTAGATAATCTCTCTAAATGGATTTATGTTAAAATATACAACATTCTCACATAACATCTGTTTCATATATGTGAAATAACATTAAATGACAAAAATTGTGTTTCCAAAAATAACTTTTGTTGAAGGTTAGGTTTCTCTCTTTCCTCTATCTAGAATCTATGACTGGATCAAAATATGTGTAAATTAAGTGTTTCTTCTTACCAAAAAGACTTGACACAGAAATACACAATAAATGGCCCCAGGTTCCTTTTCACTACGTCTATCAATACTCAGAGGCCATCATTAAGCAAAATACTGTCATGTGCACCAGGGCAGGCTACTCTGTGTGACAGATTTTGATTGAATATGACCTCTTTCCAACTTGTGCTTTCTCACATACAGGAATACGGTAACACATAAGCAGCAGAATATGAACTAAATCAGTATACACACTGTGCAAGGAACTACGATCAGGAGAGCTGTGTAACATGTCTGTGGAATCCTCCACAGCTTTGCATTTGCAAGTGCAGGCCTGGCTGTACTTTACAGTCCTTCAAATGTTTCAATGCTGTTTTTCTAGTATTTTATTTTTTTAAACCATTGGCATTAAGAACGTTAAATAAACAGTCTATCATTGAGTATGTCAGAGACCTAGGTAAGCAGGGACTTAGTAAGGTGAGGCCAGACGTCACATTCACAGGCAAAACTGCAATTTCATTAGATTTCAAATCACTGACAATATCTGCTTTGTTGTGATACATTTAGGCGCCACAGCAACCTCATATATACCCCCAAAATATGGCTTGAATAATTAAAACTAATTAAGGAAATTTCATTGTAGCCAAGCAGAAAATACATATCCCCAGGGCAAAATTTTTCAGTTTAAGATCCTTTTCCAATTTTAGAAAAATAATGGTCCCTCACACAAGTCCTCTGCTTACTTAGATTTGCATGTTTTTAAAATGGTGATAAATTAAATACACCAAGAAAAAAACAAATCTGACATTCCCTTCAAGGCTTCTGAAAACAAAGCATATTGGAATAATGCCAAGAATATGGAATTTAAAAAAGCACACACACAAATTAGTGGCTGCTTCCCTCATCAAACGATTCCACTCCTGAGTCACTTGCAGCCGCACTGATTTTTTCCTGTCGTCGTCGCATGATTTCTTGCAACTCAGAGCTGCCGTTGCTATCCTGCAAAATAAAACATGGTCCCGACAAAACAGTTACTGGTTTGGGGAGAGTGCAGGATATGTAACCAAATGGTTCAAGGTCAAACCCCTGTGAGGTGATTCTCTAGCATTTCTTTGGGAAAACTAAAGGTTGTCCCGCCTACAAATGACATTTTGGACTTCATGAACATATCACGGTTGTGCCCATTAATGTTGTTCATTCTCTGTGCCTTTCATGAAAGAAGCTGAAGATAAACCAATCATGCCTGTGGAAGGCAGTGGGTTCCCTGAGAGAAAGAAAATGCATGCATACTAAATACAACCACAAGGTAAACTGCCCAAGAATCTTTCCTCAAATGAAGCAAAATTATGGACTGCCCTTGGATTTCAAGTGATGGGTTCAGGATACAGCAAAGGGCCCTTGGCTACAAGAAAACATTCAGCACTCCTCTGATCATGTTCCTGGTTCTCCCTTCCCAGTTCTAGAACCCTGTCCTTATTCCTCTGCCACCCATCAGAAGTCTCTGACTACCCAGGTGAGGAACTTAGAAGATGAACTAGATCCTTCCCACAAGAGGCAGGATGGGCTAGAAACACGTGGAGCCTGAGGTCGTCAGCCTGTGCCTCCAGGTGCATCCCTAGAAAGAGGCAGCAAGACAGCAAGAGGAAGTGGGTGTGGAGAAAAAATGACCACACCGTCCATTCTGCAATGAAGAATAAAGAATGTTCATTCAAAGATATGCTCAAAGAGTAATTTAAAGTCTCAGTAAAATTAGAGAATATAATGGGAACAAAACTGCTTGAGAAAAGAGAAAATTCTTATTCATAAGCAATAGATAGAAAGTAATCACACAAACTCTAACAGAAAATTGCCAAGATTAAAAACAGCAGGGAAAACTTCTAAGAGAAATACAGTTTTTTCTTGATTGAGAATGGTTATAAGGGTAACATGCATAGATAGAACTATGTTACGCTCAGTTATTCAACTTTAAAATTTTAATGTACTTGGCTAAAGATAATTATGCATTAATTTCATGCCAAAGACTGTATCCTTTCATTTGAGTCCAAGCGTAATTTCCATGAAACTATTAAGAGTTGTTAGAGGTGACACGTGGAAACTACCACCTTTATACAGCTTATTCTAAGTAGAGTAAGATGCAGGCAACTTAAATATGTCACCAAGAAAACAGTGACTCCTCTGCCTCCATACAGACAAATATGATTAAGTAATCGCATTGCAAGGTGCTGCGTTTTCAGTAATCCCTGCCTGAGTTTCCAGCCCTGAGACAAACAACCAGGGAACAAAAGTGATATTTTGAGACCCGATGATTTGTTCATAGTCTTCATCCATACTCGTGAGGAATAGTGTTCCTTTTCAAAATTTTTTTTTACTTACTACTTGTTGAATTCCTTATTTAGTGGAGAGTTACTTGTGATAATAAAGTGAAAGATAAGAAAAGGAGGAGGAGAAAGGGTAGAAGTGAGAGAAGGAGGAAGAGGGGATAGGGTGAGATTTATCATCCTGCCTTTAAAACTATATGAAAAAAATGGAATTTATTCCCATTCATAAATTTAAAGTTAAAATGTAAAAACAATAAGACCTCATAAGCTAAACCTTATTAGAATCTGTAAATGAAATATTAAGGACAGGCAAAATCTGCTGGCCTCTTAAAGGGACTTTACTCACTCAGAAGTGAATTACTATTATTGCATCAAAATTAAAATTCCACTAGCAGTAGTTATTGCTACAGAATGAGGGCATTGGTCTTCACTAGCTGTACCAAAGTATGTGCTCAAGCTTTATGCTAAATGAGCACTCAACAATAAATCCGTCTCCCTGCAAATGGTCTCTGATGTTCTCAAGTGATGAACTTCCAAAAGTGGAGCCAATAAGAAAGAGAAACCGGCCATTATGGACATAGTTTGTTCCAGAACTTTCAGTTTACTGTCAACACTCTTTATTAATGCACAAACCCACCACGTGGGGCTGACAGGACCTACCTCTAGTGCAGCTTTTTGTACGGTGATTTGGCTAAAGACTCTGGCCCCTTCAGGACACACGGATCTCAGTTCATCTTTATTGAGAGAGAAAAGTTGGGCACCATTTAATACTCCAAGACTATTGACAGTCCTGAAAAAAAAAAAAAAAGAAAGCAACATTAAAACTATTTCCTAGGAAAAGAGAACAAAGCAAACATTTCTGTGTCTGTTGGTCCCCCTGCCTTCCCGGGGTCTCCGTACACTGGACACGTCACTCCACTTCCTTGGAGCCTGGAGAGGGACCCTGTTGGTGACTGACTGGGACACATCCAAAAGGGAGCCAACTGGATTTGCTATCACTACTGTTCATATTATTTCCTTAAAATCTGCTGTTTCTCAGAAAGAAAGGAATAGTTGACTTACTAGTAATCTGGCAATTGACTAACAACTGTATCTTATTTTTCAGTCTCACTGGTAACTTTAGAGTATGTCAAGGTCCATTCGGTGTTATTCAAGTAGCTCATTGTATCAAATTTGCATACATAATCACAGACTTTTAGATTACAGACACACAGAAGCTCTGTTGTAAGTTTACTAAAGGAAACACTTTATGAAGCTTATAATCAGGGGTGGGCACTTGACCTTGTGGGTAAGACGGGGGTTGAGCCGTCCACATGATACACTGTAATCCTAGGTTGATGTGTGACTTCGGCCTGGGATGTTAATCCTTGGAAGCAGTGGTTATGTTGTGGCCCAAGTAGCTGGGTTCTTGCCACCCACTGTGGGAAACCTAGATTTGGCATTCCTGGCTCCTGGAGACTACTCAGACATTTTGGGAGTGAACTGGCCAATGGAAGCTCTCTTTATCTCTCTGCTTCTCAAATACAATTTTTTGAGATTATTAACTTGATGGTTATACATAAAAAGAGGAAGAAGAGAAAGCAAAGAAGAAGAAAGAAGAAGGAGAAGAAACAAAGAGGAAGAAGAAAGTGAGGGAAGAGGAGGTGGAAGGAGAAGTTTTTTTCCATCTGTTGATTTACTCTCCAAATGCAATAGCCAGGACTGGGCCAAGCTTATTCCAGGAGTCTGAAACCCCACCCAAGTCTTCCATGTGGGCACCAAGTACTTGGGTCACCATACACTGCTCTGTTCTCTCCCAGGTGCATCAAGGAGCGTAGCAGCTAAGACTTGAATTAGCACTCACAGGAGGTGCCAATATTGTAGGGGGCAACTTAACCAGTCCCTCAACTACAATTCTTAAAAAACTTTATAACTGAAAATAGGTAAAGTTCTTCATTTGTTATTTGTCTGAGACAAAACAATCAGTGTAAGAAACCAAGGATGTATAAATTCTACTAACTAGAAAACAGGGTGACATGGCATTATAGTTATTTCTGCATCTTCCAATTATTATTATTATTATTATTATTATTTTTGCTATGGGTAGCAACAGTCATTTCGCAAACAAGGAACAAAGAATACAGTCTGGACTCAAACATTATAAGAGTGGCTTGTTACAGGTAAGTGGCCAAGTTGAAAACAATATAGCTTTTGCATATGACATGGTAAAGAAAGACTTACACAGGGTTGAATCCCTTGGACTGCAGCCAGGTCTTCACATCCTCGGGTGTAGAGTCATAGGTGATGTTGACAACTGGCACGTTCTGCCGTGGCACGTGGAACTTCTTCTGGGCAGCACTCCGACCAATGGTCAGCCTGTGGATGAGCTCATCCTGTACTTCTTCCATCTGGGATTTCCTGCCTAGACACCCACAAAGAGTATGGTATTTAAAAAAATATATATAGCTTAACATAATATTGCCTCTGTAGTATCTCAATCCCAATAACCCTTTTCCCCAGCAGGACTTACAATCTAGAGTTTCTAACAGTTTTTCTCACTTTTATACACAACAATGTAAATTCTGTGGTCAAATAGTAAAGTAACAATTTCACTCTTTTCTCTATTGTACACTTACCTGGCAACTCAGTTAACCTAAGCCTGGTTAAACTGAACTCCCGTTCTGTAAATGCACCCGTACTGCTGAATACAATAATGCTGAATGGGTGATCTGTGAAACACATGCTTATGAACCTCAGCTAGGCTGTTAATCTTCCGGGACAATCACTCTACACTCCCTGTTTGCATGGTTCTTGACAGTTTTGACCCTGGCAAGCATTTGGCAATGCCTACTGATGTTCCTGGTCGTCACAACTGAAGGATGATGGCAGGGAGGAAGACAGTGGGTGCAGGCCTTGGATGCTCACAATAATCTGCCATGCTTAGGAAACCCTCAGCATCCAATCGCAGAGAAAAATGCAAGCTCCAATGTCAACAAAGGCCAGGGTGAGAAACCCTGGCCTGGAACACATCAACGTCAGACATCTTGATGTTTAATGTCTTCTACTGTTTCTGCAAACTTCTGTTACCTTATTCCCCAATTCCCCATCAATTCACCTTGAATTGATGACCTGACTTACTAATTTCTGGATTTTTTTTTTAAATAAAAAGATTACAATTTCCACACATTCACCTAAAAGTCCTCCTTGCTTTCAGTGCTTGCCTGCATACTTTGCCCTCCTTTCCATTACATTATAGATGAACTGTTTCGCTGCTCCCAAAGCTAATCTTTCTATGTATAAACTAGATCCCAAGATTCCACCTAGCCAAATACTTAAACAGGAACTTCTCCCTCTCTTATGCTTTCATCAATTGTCTCCATTTACTCGATTGTTTAATCAGTATTCAAACCTATTATTCTTTGCCTCCCTTTTGGGAAATTCCATCTTGCCCCTGAGAATTATTGTCCTTTTCTCAGTTCTCTTTTGAGCAAAACTCCATGAAAATATATCATTTGCCTGCAATTTCCATTTCTCTTAAATTCATTACCATTTGTTCATTGGTTTTGCCCTCATAGTTCCAATTATATCTTTCCAAACCCCAGTGGCCAATTCCTTCACATCCATTAACTCATGCAGCCTACAGATGACTTCTCCTCAAAATGCTACTTGCGATCTGCAGGTCACCACCTTCTCATTTTTCTCCCCTGTCTCACTGTCCAGTCGTCAGTGTCACTCACTGCATCTTATTATCTCTGCAACTAAGTCATGCTGAATTGCTCTAGGCACAATCCTTGACCCTCCTCTCTGCCTACACCTACTCCACAAATGACCATTGAGCCTGCACTGGGTGCCAATTATCTTGCAGTCCTGGCAATTACTCAGAACTCTCTGTTCATTCATCCTGTGTACTTGGAATAGTTCCCCGAGTATCTCCTTAAACACCTCAAATAAATCTCATATAAAACATGTCTAAGCCTGAATACCCAATCTTCCGGAAGTTTGTTCTTTATGAAGTGTTTATGCCTCACAACTCAGCTAATTGCAGCCAACCTCTCCAGTCCCTCTAGTAAAAATCCAAGGGGCAGTTGTGGCACAGTGAGCACATTAATGCTTCGGACATCCACTTCCCATAATGGAGTGTTGGTCTGAGTCCTAGCTACTTGGATCCAATCCAGCTTCCTGCTAATGAGAAGGCACTGGGTGATAACCTAAATACCTGAGTCCTTACCACTCACATAGGGCACCTGAATGGAGATTTTTGGTCCTAGATTTTGGCCTGGTCGTGGATATTTGAGGACAGAAGCAGGAAAAAAATATCTCCCTGTGTGTTTATTTCTCTTTCACTCAGCCTTTCAAATAAAATAAATCTTAAAAAAAAATCACCATGGACCTCATGTGATTCCCTTACATTCTATTAACAAATAATGTTTGTTCTACCATCAAAATGTATCCAAATTCAACCGAATCAATATATTTTTTGTTTGCTTTTTTTCTCTCCAGCTTAGTCTGAACCACCAATTAGCCTATGTCTGGTCCTTACAATCATAACCTATCTATTTCCTCTAACTTATTTTATGCTGCAACTTGTCCCCAGCAGCACTCCATCCACATAGCTTCATTAGTTTCCGAACTACTTCCTACCTAATTCTATTCTCTATCAACCTAACTGCCTATACTTCTCTTTCCATTAGAACATAAGTTTTAAAAAACAAACAAACAAACAAAACCACGTTCCTACTGTTTAGTTTGCTTCTATGTCCTTGGCATTCAGACCAGCATAGCTACTGGATTACAACTCCTCAAATAAAAGAATGCATAAAGCATTCTGCTGACTTTTCACTGAAAAGACCTGCTCCTCATCACATGCAAACCCTAAAGAAATGAGCAGCCAAAATTACATTGTTAACTATTAGAATTCAGCTGGAACTGTAACCTTTTAACTTTTCATTTTAGGATTGTTTCACAAAGTCACCATTCCTATCCTTGATTTGTGTACTCACCAGGCTTCTCATTTGGTGCTGATGAAAAAGCTATGGATATGAACATGCAGTAATGAGAAAAATGGAAGTCAGAGATGGGACAAAAATATGTTCGTACTCTAGGGAAGGCAGTGCTAAGAGCTGGCAGTGCTCAATTTTGTGGCTTAGTCCCTGGGTGAGAAAATAAACCCCTTATGTTAATGCTTTTCTTGTTCGTTCCTTTGGTATCTTCAGAAGGGATAGAGGAGGTTTGGATTCTGAAACAGACTGGAATGACTGGCATGATGGAGGGTTCCAGGTAGCTGGGAGTATTTTGAATTGGTTTCCAGGTTAGCAACAGGGGTGTCACTCTTGGCATCTGCTACATTTCAGAAACAGGCATCTAGGATTGTTTCTTTTTCCTTGTGTTCATGATTATTTGATAATATTTTGAGTACTTTCTAGTCATTTTATTTTTATGGAGCTTTAAGCAGTAAGGAGAGATTGGAGGTAACATGCAGCTATATTTTCAGAGTGAGCTGGCTATTAATAAATACACATTTAAATGCACTTATCTGATTCTAAGTCTGGTTAAAAGCCCCAATGGTTATTTAGAAGGAGGGAAGGGGAAAAACTGTTTTCCAAAACAGTGCTGAAGAAGCTACAAAAACACTTTTTTCATTAAAAACAAATATTTAAAGTAAAGCAATGCTTTTGAGATAGCCTAAGAAGGAACGCTATGTTGAATAACTGCAAGGTTTTCATTCGTTTAAGAAAACAAACACACATGTTAATTCTGGGAGAGATATTTATATTCCACACACCAATGAACTCTTTTGCTTAAGAAAAACAACTTGCACATGATGACTCACAATTATCAGGAGAGTCCTCTATCTTTATAAGTATCCAAATTATGACTTTCCCATTTGGTTATTCTTGGTTTCCCAGAGCGGGACAAAGAACACACTGTCTTCACCCTTTCCCTGTTCCAAGCGAGGCCCAGCGGTCCGTGACCTCTGCTCCTAGGCCTGCAGCCGGGGCAGCACAAAGTTAGGGGTCACTGTGCTGACGTGTCAAAGGAAGGGGAATGGTAGAAACTCATGGGAAGAAAGACGAAAGGAACGATTATTACTAAGGACAATTTTCCTTAGGGAAATCAATAAAAATATGTCTAGAACTTTCTAACCTCAAAACTATGACTTTTGTGTCTTCAGAAAAAGAAGCACATTTTGAAAACATATATTGAAATATATTAGTGTCCCATAGTTACACGCACACACACACACACGTCCACATACAGAGTTGTTCTGGTCACACAGAAAAACTCAGCTGCTTTTCAAATCTTCATTTTTTCTTTGGTTTTATGACAAATTCAGGATATGGATACTAAAGTTGCTTCAACGTGCTACAACTTGGTAGAGAAATTAACATTTGCAAGTAGGCTTGTGCTCATTACATTTAACCAGAATTTCTAGAACAGTTGAACAGTAAAAATTTTAGTGTCCTTTAAATTTTTTAATGTATCAAGAATGACTGCAACTGGATGGCTATAACATACCAAGATAAGAAAAACAGTTGGATGAAAATGGGAGCCAAAGATTCAATAATTTAGTTTTGAAGAGCAGGCAGTTAGCCTCGTGATGACACCCACATTCCATACCAGAGTATGTGGACATGGTTTCAAGCTCCAGACACTGACTCCAGGCCCCTAAAAATATAGACCTGGGAAGGAAGCAGTGATGGCACAAGTAGATGGCTTCCTGCCATTGGAGTGGCTGTAATGCAGTTCTTGGCTCCTGGCTTTGGACTGGTCCATTTTCAGCTGTTGGACTGAACCAGGTCACTCTATCTCAAACAAATTTTAAAAATTCGTTTTGAACATGAATTTCAGACATCCAATCTCAGCCTTAAAATTAAGCATTCAATACATGTATCTGAATGTGAGAAAGGAGATTTTGGCCTGAAGTCTTAAATGTGGGATTATTCCTCTTACAATGATACTTAAAAAATGGTACTTAAAAAATGGAAATGGTGTGATCATCAAGAGCAAAAATGTGCTTAATATAGAAAGAATGCAGAACCCTGGGACACATATTGAGAGAATGACAGATACCAAGTAAACACACACAAACACACCTACAACATAACACTCATACAATTCTGTATTGAGGAAATTCAGAAAATCTCCCTGGCTCTAATTTTCCAAGTATTTTTATATGCCAAATATAGAAATGGGTAGGCATTGTGGTATGGCAGGTTTAGTGTGCCACTTGGGATGCCCAGATCCTGTGTCATAGAGACAATGTATGGAACCAAGTCCTGCCTCTGCTTCTGATTCCATTTTCTAAGATGTACCTGGAAGAAAACAGATGAAAGACCAAATACTTGGCTTCCGGCCTCCTACACAGGAGACCCAGATGGCATTCCTGACTCTTGGCTTTGGCTTGGCCCAGTAGCAGCTGTTATGATTCTTTGGGGGAGTGAATCAGTAGATGGACTATCTCCTCTGATTTTGCCTCTCTGTGTGTCATTCTGTATTTCAAATAAATAAACCTTTAAAATAAATAAATAAAAGGTGTCACTTGGGATGCCTGCATCCCATACCGGAGAGCCTGGGTTTGAATTCTGGTTCTGCTTCTGTTTCTACCTTCTTGCTAAGCAGCTGATGATGGTTCAGCTCCTTGGTTAAATCTCTGTCACTTTTGTGGGAGATGCAGCGATGGAGGAAGTCAACCAGCTGACATAAGAGCTCTGTGTTCTCTCTCTCCCTCTCTCTCTACTTTTCAAACAAATATGAAAGCAAATAACTGATGTAGATAAATTTTTGTAATCTTAAAACATTGTAAAAACATTCATTGGTGATTACAGTTAATAGATATCCTATAATAGAAGTTAAGACAAGATAAAAAAATCACTTAGAATTACACAAAATTTTCAAAATATCTATACTACTATCCTGCATTGGTAACAAAGATAAACAAAATTAACCATTTTGTACCCTATTATTTTTAAAGTAAGGCTTTCATAGGAACCGTTTCTATGAAAATTCAAATTTTAATTGGCTTATGTATGAAATTGAAGTCTCTCTTAACTGCCTGGAACTCGACTGAGGAGTACACATTGTGCCTAATGATGCTGTTTGTGCTTATATGTGAGAACAGCAGTTCTCATGAAGAGAAGCAGGAAGGTGATGGTAGCAGTTTATGATGGTGATCATTATGACAGCAGCAAATACAAATTAGTTAATAATGCATCACATATTGGGCAAAATCAATCAAAGCCTTCCAACATTTGCTCCACTGACACTTTGATCAGAATAAAACTGCTTTGGGGAGCTATCCTGTATATGTGGAATATTGTTAAACATCCCTGGCCATCATCTATCACATGCCAGCAGCATTGTCCTCATGTCACCACCAGAACCTTCTAGAATACCCAGCTCCAAAGTCAAAACCATCCCTGATTAAGAATCACTGACATATCTGCTTTACATGCATTATCTCATTAAATTCTCACACTTCTCCTATGAGGCAAGTAATTTTAGCTTTTTCTATTCCATACATTCAATTGCAGAAGGGACTACTAAATTGCTGAAGGGCACAGGATAGCAAACAATACTTCATGATGCCCATTCCAGCATGTTTGGCTCTGGAACCTACATTCAATCACGAGATAGTCGAAATGCATACATCAGACAGTGGAAAGTGCCGCTTACAACTCAGAATTCATTAGAGGAAGACAGAAATACGGTGAAAAATCTTTGAAATCTATGAAGTACAGTGCAAGTACAAAGGATTCTGACTTAAATTTACTACTAATAGAATCAATCAAACTTAAGTGACTTAGTAGTGCTCTTAATTCACATAATAATTTTTTGGCCTCCCTGGGAAACTTACGATCCACTGGAAGTTGCTTCTGTCTCTGGCTGTCTCGAATGATACTGCCACCACTCTCGCTGGAGCTGCTGTTCTGCCGGGTTATGTTGGCTGGGATCTTCGAGACAGGAACAGCTGTAGGAGCAGCAGGGGGAAGGGGAACAGGAACAGGAGCTGGTGCAGGAGGAGGTGAAGGCGCAGAGGGAGTATCCAATGGTCTTGGCCCATACTCCAGCCTTTGTTTCTAGAAAAAGGCAAACAATGAACTTAAAACTTCAATGAATACAGAAGTAAACAAACACACACAAAAAATCAGACTTTGCCAGGGTAATGTTGGCTGTGATTTATTCCTGAACTTAAAGGTATACATGAAGTTACATTCACATACCCACCACTCACAAACCCTATGTCTAATCCTATTTGGCATAATGAGCAATAAAAGCAACCTTTTCAATATTTTACGAACATATCTGAACTGTAAATTAAGGAATCACAGGGCTACCCTGGTAGCAAATAGGAATATAATATTAAATGTCAAGAAAATAAAATTTGTACTTGGATTCACACAAGACCATCACAGGTCAAAAGAGTTCTGATTACATTATAATATACACTAATCTCAATTTTAAATTTTAAATTGTATTAGAAACCTGATTATGAAACCATAATGTTTCATTTAATCCTCAATTAATATATATGTTGTATTCAAATATATTTACTTCTATCATTTCTAAGAAATTCAGTAAAAAGAGGGGGTACTATCTTACCTCTATCTTACCTTTTTAAAGGGACTACACCTTCAACCAAACAATTTAAAAATGTTAATAATTTTTATCAAGTCACAGCCCTTTTTGACATTATGTGAATGTCAACTGATAAAAATCAGAAAATTTTATTGTTGAAATGCAAATGCTATCTGATAGATGGGTAATAGAATTTTGTTTAAATGTTTAGACTGTCAAGCTATTATAAAGCAGTATTTATGCATATTCCTTATAAAGATACAGAAACTCAAGCTCTTAATCTAAATAAAATAATTTACACAGACAACTACAGATAAAAGGCTCCAGATTTCCAAAAGGAGCATTTTCCTTGTGAAATTGAAATCCAGAGTACTGATTTAAAATAGAGACAAAGTTTAGATATCACAGTGGTACAACTTTAATTATCCAAAATTTTAGGGCCAGTGTATAAAATGCAAACAGGTCCTTTGGTCATCTGTCCTTTGATTACAACAGTAGTTTTAGTTCTTTGCTGGCTCCAATATAAGCTAATATTGATTTTATCAGAGTCCTCCCAATTATCACAGTGATCAAAAACAGCAGTACACACTACACATACCACTTTTCACTTGAATCTTTACTCAGAAAACCTGTCACAGTTGTCATCCAAGCAAATAATTAACACCTACAAGGCAAGGAGCCCTCTTCCTTTTCTGTTGTCTGATGGCACTCACTGTCAGTTGGATGGCGACAGTGGAAAGGATATTAGGCAAATAGGGAAGGGAGCTGATAGCACTGCTGTGATGCTGCTACGGGGACAGCCAGGGTAACGAAGGAAGAGGCAGGGAGGAAAGAGAAGAGGGACAGAGAAGACTCCCAGACCTAGTTGTCGAACTCGAGCAGGTGGATGGAGCAGACACACATCTGATTGATAATCCCCTCAGCATTCAGGGCTCAGAAATATTCCTAATCCATCCAATCGTGTATCAGAAGACATTGTTACCATATAATCCAACAAAACAATAAAAACTATTTAAAACAATCAAGATAGAGCAAACATCACCCGAACACCCAGCACACAGTAAAGTTATCTGACTAAATGTCTATGCAAAGTTCCTTTGCATGTTATTTCATGAAAGGTTAAGTCTCACACTCGTGTTCCCGAAATGCATCAGTTTAAATTGTTGTTTTTAAAGCAGAAACAAACATTGAAATGCCATCAGCTCTGAATTCTATGATATGATTCATATTTTCTGCTTCATAAAAACAACCACAGCTAGTGTTTTGCTTTCCATCAGGCAGTAACTCAAAAAAACCAAAATACACTGTGTGTTATTGTCACACTCAAGCCTGAAGACAAGATTACCAAATGTCCAGGGCTCCGTTTCACTCACCTGCACCGCTGTCAAATGCATTCTTATCAGGATGGCTTAAATGAATACTGGGTTCCTCAAAATAGGTTTAAAGTAAACCTATTTGATTAAAGAAAACCAGCATGACATTTTTTGATGACTTAAATTACGAACTACATTTACTTGCATATTTTCCTCTTTCCTTTTCTCTTGCCTCATGTTCTTACTCTGACAATGGGAAGGTTTCCTCCTTGACTCATTACAACCAGTTTTGAGATGGTAGACAAGATGGCCTTCCATGGACACTGGTTTGCAATTCTTGTTGTGGGAGACACAGGGTACTGCTTCCTGCAAGTGTTTTGGTATTCTTTGCTATTGTCTCCACAACTAGCCATTGAATACCTAGCTCTGACACCTTCTGTCTCATGGTTTGCTCTGGTCAAACAAACAGAAGTGATGAGATTGGTGTACTTTCACTTTCTGAGCCTAGAAAATAGAACTGCATCCTAAAATTGCTCTCCTGAACCAAAGGGCCAGAAGTTCCGAACTCAGAAAAAGAAAACTTGATCCAATTTTTCCAGTTTGCTGTTACACTTCACTGCAGAGGAAAATGGGATGTTGGTCAACCTGACAAGGACCGACTTCTGTACTGGCATCTCTTCCTAAGTCTTCCCTGTCATTTTCCATCAACACAAAGTTCAGCTTCCCACAACATCTTTTTTTGAAAGAGGTCAAAATTTCTAGAACTTAGCGGATACATACTTTCCTACTGATGACTAAGTGGGAAGGAGTTACTTCTAATTAATGCCAATATTGCTGCAGAGTGGAAATTATGCAAGTAAGCCCAACAAAGCCATGAAAATTGAACTGTTCTGAAAAATTTAACCTACTCAGAATTGCATGTTTTCCCTCTAAATTTGGCCTTTTTGGGAACTGTAAAGTGAAAACACAGCACAGCTGGAACATTTGGAGGGTGTTAAGTCGAGAGATTGAATCCAAAACACGATATTAAAATGAAGTGCCAGGAGCGAATGAACGTGGGTTACCTCTGACAGCTCGCCCAGTAATTGCTATTAGAAGAATGGAGCAAATCACATCAAATGAGAAAATGAACACAGGATATGGAATCAAGGAAATGTCAATTATAATTCAAATAAGAGACCAAAAAATGGGCATAAATTAGTTTCTAGTTTCTGCCTACCCACAAAGGAATCTGTGAGAGTCTGTAAATATATAATTAACATCCACCGTCCTTCTCTAGCCATGTCAAAATAACCATGCCAATCAGACAATAGTATAAACAGTAGAAAGCATTTCAGTATTAGCTATCCATCTATTAAAAGTACTAACTTTAAATATTAGCATGAAGGTGCATTTGCACATGCAAGCTGAAGAGCAGCATGTATATTATACACCGTGTGTATATTTATATATGTGCACCATACATGTATGTGTTATACGTAGGGCAGGTATTATCCAAACCATCACAAGAAATTTCAGGAAAAATGCTAATATATGGGGCAGAATATAAAGCAATCATTGTTAAAGAAAGAATATAAAAGGAGTTACCAGATTTGGAGTACTGAACAAACAAGCAGATTCAGATCAAAGGACACAAAGCAGCAAGCATAAAGGATGCTTGAAATAAAAGATACACTGTATAGCACAAGGACTGCAGTGGATACCAGGAATTTATACTCAGTGTTCTTGTTAAATGAGTAGAAATAACTGCTCTAAGGGTGGGGAATGGATAACTATGTGAGATGATGGGATGTGAATTTGAACTATTACAGCAAACATTTTACTATACTGTGTAGATATTTTATAACTTCATGTTGTACATTATGCTTTTCATTAATGAGCACAATATTCTAAGATTTGTTGAAAACATTTTCTATAGAGCTGAAGATCCTCAGGAAGTTGGCCAGGCTGGAAGAATGCCTAGTCTGTCTCAGAAAATGATGACTTTCTGTCCAGTATCTGAGTGTCTGGATGGAGCTTAAAAAGCAAAACATTTATAACATGGTATGAAGTCAGCAGCATTTGTCAGTTTAGTGGTCAACTATGGAAAATACTTCTTTTAATTTAAGGTTATTTAAACGTGTCTACACAGAATGTTAAGGTTTTATATCTAAGCCTAGTTATGGAGATTATATAAGTTGGTGAGAAGAGTTCCCTGGATGACCAGAAGTTGGCCACAAAAATACAGCAAAGCTTTGCAAAACTTCCAACTTTGATCAAAAGACTTGCCATCTTCTATCATCTCTCATGAACATTTATTTTCTTTACCCTGTGCCTACATTCAGTTATTTCAGCATTCCATATCTGTGGTAAATGCTTTATTACCTCCATTCCTTCTATTTCTAAAGCCTTGCTGAAGCCATAGGGGAAACACTTTAGGTGGGAACAGCTGCCTTTGCAGAGCTGCTAAAAATCACTGCAAATGTGAGGATATTAAATTGCCTGGACTCTCTCTGGGATGCTGGGTGGCAATTCAACACCTATTCTCTGCTGGTGAAGCCATGAGCATCCCTGCCATCAAACGCAATCAAAAGTGTGAACAATAGGCAGGGGCTGTCCTGTAATACAAGGATACTTTCAAAAAGCCTGTAGAAAACGGAATTAAAATGTAAGTTTTAATGGGTGAAAAAACATTTTGAAATCCATGCATTATGAAATATCTTCAAAAAGTGGATGGAAAATGATTTATGGAAAAAATACTATACATAGACTTCAAATTTATACCAAAACCATTTTATCTTTTAATTCAGTTTTCCAGGAATTTTTTTGAAGCCTCCGCATATTCACTTTTTCTTAGGTAATATACAGAATAACACTAAGAGTCACAACTATATCCACTTTAAAATACTTGGGCCATGGGCCTCTGGTGCAGCAGTTTCAATGACACTTGGGACATCCACACCCCAACAGAGAATGCCTACATTAGAGTTTCAGCTACATCTTAATTCTAGTGTTGTGCCTTTTCCCTTGCCTTTATAAAACATTCGAAATATTTATTTATTTGAAGGAGAGAGAAGGAACGAAGGAAGCAAGGAAGCAGAGGAGCAGGGAGAAAGGAAAGGAGGAAGAAAGGGAAGGAGGGAGGCAAAGAGAGAGATTATCTATTCACCTAGTAATTGGGCCAGGCTGGAATCAGCAACCAAGAACTCCATCCAGCTCTCTCATGTAGGACCACACACCCAACTTCTTGGGCCATGTTCTTCTGCCTTCCCAGGCACATTAGTAGGGAGTTGGATGAGAAGTGAAGCAGCATGGATTTGAATAGGCATCCAATGTAGGATGTCTGAATCACAACGCTGGCAAAACACACCTGACTCCAACTTCCTGTTAATGAACACCGTATGGGGCAGCAGGTGACAACCTGAGTGTTCGGGCTCTGACCACCCACCTGGGAGATCTGGATTGAGTTCCAGCACTGGCTATTGCAGACATTTGAGGAGTGAACTAGCAAATGAAAAATTTATTCACTCACTTCGTCTTCTTACCTTTCACCTAAATAAAAGCATAATCAAAATTCTTAGACATTTAAAACACTTGATAACTCACAGGTGATACACAGAAATGGTTTACATCTAATTCTCTTATTTTCATAATTCACATAGCATCTACCCTACGTGAATCATATAATTTAGGTAATTTTTCCAAATGATAACAGAAATGAAAAAAAAGGTGAAATCCAGCGAATGGATACACAAGGGAAGAACTGATTCTAAGAATGGTGACAGATCAGATCACCTTTTATCAAGTATAACACATGTTGAAGCTATTCTGAGAAAAATATCACATTAAGCATTCGTACAGTGAAAAAATGATGTTTGTGCAAGAAGACATGACATCCTTTTGTAGCCACTTTTCCCTGGAATAACAGTATATAAGGGAAAGGGCTCCCATTCAGAGCACCGGATCCCAATCAAAGCTTGTCAAGGCTTGTGCACAAATTATTTCTCCTACACCTCTACTTCCGAAGGAAAAATAATGTGCCTATTTCACAAGGCCATTGTGGAACTAAAAGCAGCTGGTATCTGCAAAATGCAAAGTGTTTAACCAATGCCAGGCACACAGCATGAGCATGGACCACTGGCAGTGTCTCTATTGCTGTGTAGGAGCACAGAGCACACTTAAATAATGCATCCTGAGGTGTTTTGCTGGAGGACACCGCAGGGATCTAAAATGCTTTTTTTTAGAAGAGAAGCTCTTCAGAATTGTGGCATCACCAGCAGGAAGTGAGAAAAGGAGAAAAAGTGTACGGGTCCCATCTGAGGAGGGGAGAGAGGATCCCTACTATTTCAGCAAGAATAGAGCCGAGAAGAAAGCCAAGGTGACAAGGTTTTCCCCAGGGAATCCACTGCGCTTCATCTGGCTTTCTGTTGTGTTTTTTATCAAGCACAAGATGCTGGTGCTCAGATAAAAGGGGAAAGACCAATCAGAGGGGTAAGACACAGAATTTCAATCTCATGAAATTGTCTAAGGTTAAGCTATCAGTGTCATTGGAGTGTTATATAAATATGGTGCAATCTTTATTGTCATTTGGAAATAAACCACAGGAGCTTTCCTTAGACATTTTAGGTTAAAGTTTCTGGCTGATGCTGTTGCGCAGATAATAAAAACAAGCAGCGTATACTTCTAGACATGTTTTCTTTTCCATTTTATTTTATTCCTTTTTCAAAAAAAGTTATAAATGCTTTGAGAATGAATTTTTTTTTTCGGAGTGGGATTTGTGCTAGATAGCAGATTGTTGAGTTGTTTATTAAAATTTTACAAGATCTTGCTGGTTTTGTTGGGTTCAGCCCCAAATTTTCAGAAGGTGTTAAAAAAAAAAAGCAGATGGTTTCTAATATCCTCTGAAAAGAGAATTGCAGTGTAAACAACATGAGTATACACAGAAACTTTGACACACATTGCTATAAGCATCACTGCATTCATAGTTGCATCTAGAATTTTCAGAAGACAGTGAGACAGTGTGGAAAAGTTTAAAAGGAAGTAGCCAAACTAGGCCATCTCCTCAAGGACCCCAAGTTTCTATTTATATAACGTAGCAAACGCTAACTCCTGAAACTTGGTTTCCCTTGAAAAAAGAAATCTTGGTTGAGTCAAAGTTGACCAAAATCTAAGATGAGTTCTGTACAATATAGTGGGCACAGATTTTATTTTCCGAAAGTACTCTCACTACTGATGATATGGTTTAATTTTAGACACCCATGTTTTCAGAAATGTCAACTTATGGCTCAAGCCAGGAATTAGAATTAAATACCAACAAAAAATGTCCAATCAGTTAACAGTAGAAGTTAAGAGATGTTAAACTCTTAAATGAAAAATTTTCAAGTCAGAAACTTTACATTTCTAAGAAATTTCAGGTAGAGAGAAGTACAGAATTTATATTATTTGCTACTTTAAGAGTTTCATTAGAGTTTGCCTTTTGCTCACCATGTGCACACAAAAGCACACTCTGAGAACTGTTTTTTTTTTCACAGGTAAAGTATAATCTCTTAGCTTCTGCTCACATACAGGAAACAGTACTACTCCTCCTGAACAATGCATCTCCTTCCGTGTAGTGAGTTAAATAGTTACAGGCACACAGTTCACAGAACATACACTCTGTCAGTCAAGGCATATGCTTTGAGTATACAATCAATCACAGTTACTGTTTAAGAACATGGTTAAAAGCTCTGAAGGAAAGAAAGACCAAGAATCGCAAATCAAACAGAAACCTATGTTACGCCAGGTTACCACATCTCCAACTCAGTAAAGTGAGAAAATCAGGACAGAAAAAAGTATTAAAAACTAAGTTGGAAGTTTCACTGCAAAAAATCCATGCGGAACAGAGCAGACCATACCTTGAATAATTCAAACTCCTTTTTTGGCATCAACAGCTAATGACAAATAGGAACATAAAATGAACATATCCTGCATATGCACATCAGGCCAGTCAGCATTTCCAAACTTCTGGGATTTCAATCACTTCACATCACCGATACGTACAAACTATATTATTTTTTATTCTGAACGCTTGTCTTACAGATTGTAATAAGGCCAGGTCCCTACAGATAAACTGATGATCTACACTTCAGTGTCAGAAGGAAATGCTGAGCTCTTAAATGAATCATCAAACATCAATTCTACAACGCAGAAACTTGTATGTTATTAAGTCCAGACCTGGCATAAAAGTAATAATGGCACTGCATGATCTATGAAACTTTTACTGAAATTTAGTATAGCATTAGGGGGTCATTTGTGATCTTCCTCAAGACTCTGAAAATTAAAGGAATTTTTCCCTGAAGAACAAAAAAAGAAGTCACCCCTAAGGTTTAGAGGCTGCCCGTGGAAAAATCGATTCATTTTGTCGTCTTGGTCAGAAGACAGATCAGATTCCAGACAACTTCTCATAGGTCTCGAACCCCCAGAGTTCAATAGTGAGTGAATTTCACATATTAGGGTGAATGAGATGAGTAGGGACAATAGAATCCTGAAAAGGTGGCCTCAAGGATTCATTCGGTGATCAGATGAGAACCTGACTGCGACGTGTACTATCATCTTCTAGGGGAAACAGTGCATGTATGCACTTGTGTGAGGTGAGATGATCACAGGCTCAAGGCTGCTTCAGCACAGCAGTGAAGACACAGACAGCACTTGGCTGGGCACCTGCTGCACGTTAGCATCACCATGTCAGTGTCACACTCTACAAGGGACCAACGGTGGACGGGAGAATTACGGGTGGACACACAGAAACACTATTTCCCTGAATGTCAGAAATGACATGAAGAAAGCCATTCAGAAAAACACTCACTCACTGTCACACATTTTAAAGTTTCCTTAACAGGTGAATGACAAGTATGTGATTCTTCCCTGTGTCTCTCACCATTGTCACTGAACTACTCTAAAATATATGTAGTCAGTGAAATCTCAAAATAATTACACCAAAATGTAGTAAAATTCCGCATAATGCAATACATTTAAAAATGCAAAACCCACAATTACCTGTATGGTATGCGTATATGGTGGGTCAGCACGCCCCAACCCAGACTCTGGAGGTCTCACAATATCCAAAATGTTATTTGGCACAAATCCAGAGTCTCCACTTGCATTTCGAACTTTCCACCACTGCTTCCTGTCATCAAGTATCTGCCAATGTAAGAAAACAAAGGCATAACTTCCATATGGAAATCAATCCATGAAGTGAGTTGGATTCTTTTCCCTAGATGCCAACCCAGAAAAACTTTTCACTCCTGACTGTTGATTCAGTTGCAACCTACTGCTGACCGCAGAACTCTCAGGAGTCACACTAAAAATCACGTATTTTAGAATAAATAAAACAAACATCACTAGGGAGAATAAAACAAAACACTAGGGAGAATATGAGGATCATATTACCTTCCAAAAGTGAATCTGTATGATCTAAACTATTGTGTTAAAGTGGCTTCCTTGGTCAGCTTACTGTTTTCATTTTTTGGATGAAAAGGAAAAGAAAATCACGTTTATTTGTTTACAAAATTTATAATCTTGATTCCTCATATATTTGTATGTGTATATACACACACACACATATATATATATTAAGAAGATGAACTCTCAGCACAACCTTGGAAAGGGATTTGTCATAGTTAACTATTCCTAATACCATTAACTCCCTGACTGCTGAGTTAATTTCTGCAAGGACATTGGGATGGAAAGAAGGAAATGTTTTCTACTATTTAAGACATTACAGTGCCAGGCCTGGTGTGATGGTTCAATTGCTACATCTTCACCTTACAAGCAGTAAGATCCCATATGGGAGCCAGTTTGTGTCCTGTTCGAATTCCCATCCAGCTCCCTGCTTGTGGCCTGGGAAACCAGTGGAGGATGGTGCAAAACTTTGGTACCCTTAACCTGAGTGGGAGACCTGGAGAAAGTTCTTGGTTCCCGGCTTCAGGTCAGCTCAGCTCTAGCTGCTGCAGGCATTTGGGGATGAACTAACGGATGGAAGATCTTTCTCTCTGCTTCTCCTTCTCTCTGTAAAGCTGATCTGCTTTTCCAATGAAAATAAAGATATTATAGTGAATATCTTTAAAATAATATCTTTTAAGAAGATATTATAGTGAATTGATGCACATAAACGGATAACTAAATTTTACTCCAAAGTGAGAAGTCTGCAAAAAGAATGAAAACCAAGAAATTCACACAAATCTCTCTCTAAGGCAAACAGACAGTCTCCAACATACCACACTCTCAGTGACATAACATGCAGCATAATAATCTCTTGATCTCAGCAATTCTCTGAGTATGGTTTTGACATATCAAGAAAGAAAGCCAATAAATTTATTTTACAAAGAGTATAAAAAAGAGCAAAATGCTATTACCTCTAAAATATCATCCTTTAGGACTGAGAGCTCACTGTTGTTCCTGGCTACAAAGTCATACTTGGATTTGGCATATTTCTTAGGTTGTGTTTTCATTGGGTCATAGTTTCTATAAAAAAAAAAAACACACAAAATATATGATCACTCTGCAAGCTCTTCCTAAACATGCCAAACAAAAGCAAAACATTAAGGGAAGCCAAATCTTACCAGGAAATTCTGTCATTGAGTCAGCAGCTTAGTTTTTTTAAATATGTTTTACAAAACCTGAGAAATAAAGAACTGTTCTGTTCTTACTATTAAGATTCACCCACTGGAGTGGTGACTGCAATGCTCAAGCCCTCCTTTTGCGTGCCTGGGGTGTGTGCGTCTCAGGTCTTGTGGTTCCTGCCACCACACGGACTGCACTTCCAGTTCCTGGCTACTGGGGGTATTTGGGCAATGAGCCAGAGAGCACAGTGTCTCATTCTTTACTTCTCAAATTAATAAAAAACAAAATAAAGTAGATGGCATGAACTATGGCCAAAAGCAACAATCAAAAGCACTAAGTTAGCTGGTAATGAACCAAATATATAATCCGATTCCATGAATTCTCTGTGTAGACAGTTTTTGTTAATTACCATCTATACTATGAAAGACATCAGAAAGATAAATTTACCATTTTTCATACACTTGAAGGAGACAAGATAATTTCCATAGACATTAAGTTATATGTTGATTTCACTAATTTAAATAGTATCTTGAATTCACTTACATATTTAATTGGATCAATAAAAAATAAATTATTTCACTGCAAAGTTCTTAAAATATTAATGACACAAATATGGGAACAATATTTAAGAAAAAAAAAACTTTTCTCAGGGATGGTACTGTGGCATAGTGGGTTAAACCTCTGCTTGGACATCAGCATCGCATTTTGGATTGCGACTTCAAGTCCTAGTTACTCCCAATCCAGTTTCCTACAAGGAACGTACTTGGGAAGACAGTGGAAGTTGGTCCAAGTCCTTGGGCCCTTGCCATACGTATGGGGAACTAAGACAGAATTCCAGGCTTTTGGCTGGCTCAGCCCTGGCAGTTGCCACATTTGGTGGGTGGACCAGTAGAAGGAACCTCTCTTACTCCTTCTCTCTACCTCTGTTGTTTCAAATAAATAAAGAAACGCCTTGAAAGCTTCTCTGGGGTGAGTGCTGTGGTGTAGTAGGTAGCAGTATGGTGCCAGCATCCATAAGGACACCTGTTTGAGTTCTGTTTGCTCCACTTCCTATCCAACTCCCTGCTAATGTGTCGGGAAAAATGGCAAAAGATGGCCCCCCTGTATCTATGTGGGAGACCTGAAAGAAGCTACACTGGTCCACCTCCAACCACTGTGGTCATTCAAGGAGTAAACCAAAAGATATTACGTGTTGCTCGCTCTCTCTCTCTCTCTTTCTCTTTCTGTCTCTTTCTCTCTCTCTAAATCTGCCTTTCCAATAAGAACAAATAAATCTTTATTATTATTATTATTATTATTATTATTATTATTATGTTGCATTATGTGACACAGTGTTTTTAGGCACTGGGATTCCCCCTAGGAACAAATAAATCTTAAAAGAAATTTTCTTTAAACACCGTATTTTTTCTAGTCATCAAGTGAACATTAAGAGACTTAAAATATTATTTTAAAAAACTGCAAGTAACAGCAAATGTACTAACAGTAAAATAAATGCAACACAGAAAATGTGTTAATCTATTCTTCATATATATTTCCATAGTAACTTCAACTCTTCCTTATCAGTTTTACTTCCTAATCTCTTCCATTTATTTTCCCACATTTCCTCACACAATTCTTCAAGAGAAAAAGCACAATGAGATAAAAGATGTTGGTCATCATGCCTCTGTATAATGACTACTCTTTTTGCTGTCTGCTAAGTTTTCTAGAGAACCGAGTTACAGCAGAGCCTGTAGGGCAACTGTGAAGAGAATGCAATCTGTCATTTAGTAGGTACACATTGACAGAATACCTCTTCTACACAGAGGTACCTACGCCGGAAAAGATGTATCTGTATCTATCTATATCTGTACGCATACATAGATAGGCATATATAATCATATAACTATATGCAGTTACTATTAATAATAATATGTAACAGTGATATGGACATAATTTAATTTCCCACCAGTTTTAGATATACATTAATAGTAACAATTTAAAAACGGATAGGATTTCCTATTCCTCCTATCCAAATGGACAAAATCTGCATTTATCTACTTTATATATTTACATTCCATCAAAATTTCACTTGGGAGATAAAACAGATACAACCACCCCTAAAGTTAGAGAAGCAGTAACTTTAGTTCCTTGCTTTCTCTCTTCTTCCATGTTCTTCTCTCCTGTAATCTGGAACCAAATCACTACTAATAATGGAGAGCTGAGTGTACTGTAACCAAGAGAATAATTACCTGCCTGCAGCAATTTGTGTGGGTGAGATAAAAGTATGGTACACTTGTCTTTGAACTATTTGCCATCCTAAGGCCACAAAGGCATTTGTCCTGCATGTATTTACAAAGTGCTTTCAAATTTACAAATCTCTATAACAACTTTCAAATTTTTTTTTGCCCTCTATAAAGTTGTATATGACATTGACAATTGTCAACGGGAAAAAAAATCGAAATTTGTATTATTCTGATGTACTGAAGTTTTTTTATGAGATCTGGGACCAATCAATATTGTCTGTTTCTAATTTGGAACAGACAGCTCAACTGATCTCAAGCAGATGTTGAGACAATATTCTGAGAACTTCTCCAAGAGACTAATTGCATCTAAAGAGCTGTAAAGTGTAATCACTGAAAGGTGAGGCTCTAAATTCAACAGATGGTCTCCTTTGTGACATGGTAATTTCACTGACCAATAAATATGCTTCACTTGGTAACTACTGTATTCTGTATTCCTGCCATTTGGTATAATGAAAGAAAAAATAATAGTAATAAAGTTAGCAATATTGTTAGAATTCTAAACCCTCATGTGTTTCATGTTACCCACAGCTTTTAGCAGAATGAGGACAATTCACCTGAGTAATGCAGAATACCAATGTTCCAGAATACTATCAACTGCCTCAACTGCTAACCCAGGTAATGCTCTATCATTGATTTCTGGGTTAAGAACAGGGAACTAGTGGCTCTGAAATGTTGCATACACTATCATGTACTTACTCAGTCATTTACTCAATCCAGTAGATCTACCTTGAGTGGTTATAACATATTATCTAGAGGCTTACTAGATATGGAACATGATAACATTTTCTGGTAGCATTATATAATAAATCTGAACACATACGAGAAATGTACCCAAATGGTTTTCAAGCTATTTCACTGTAAAAAATCATCCTGCTTTATTGAAGTAACAGAACAAAAAGAAATAATTTCCAGAATCTTAACATCTAAAATTGAATGACATGAGACTACCTGGATGTGCAATACTTTAGTCAATGAGAAGTTTAATGAAGCAATGCTCATGACTCACAATTCCAATTATAAATTATTTCAAAACTTGGCATTTTAAAGGTATGTTATTCGGTGCTGATTTTTTTTTGTCCTCAATTTAATATGTTAGTAGTACACCAAGAGTAACACCCACTTAGTGACCACACTAATAAGCAGAGCATTATCTCAGCCATCAACCCTGACAAAAAACATGCAAAATTCATCTTCTCCTGCGTTTGTTAGAGTAAATTGAACAAAAAGGGGGGGGGGGCGCATGCAACACTCATGAGAACACCAAGGCTGAGGAACAAAGCGCCTCCCATTCTTTCTCTTTTCTGTATGGGCACCTGTGTAAACTTAACCTGCTAGAAAAACAACGCTGAAAAAAGAGACAGAGAATCTAGTTCCACTGTCTTATTTCTTCTCCATACCAGTTTTCCACTTCTGCTTACGTTTATTTTTTAAAAAAATAAAAACATAGGCAAATGAGTCAGATGTAAAACTGGAAAGTAAAAATAAATATAAGAGGACATGGTAAGAACTAAACAAGGCTTGAGTCTGTGTGATTATTTGGTTTAATATGTTCCTATCTAAAGGAAGGTTGTTTATTTTTGTTGGATGTAAGATGGAAATTGCTTCCTTTAAAAAGTACAGAATTGGAAAGATCCTTAGAGACCCCCTGGTGAACACTGATAGTTTCAAGCTAATTCTTCTTTCTTCTTCATGCACAGATTTTTGTCAGAAGTATCTTTTAAAAAACAGAAAAGAATCAAACGGTATTGGCACTATGTGAGCAAAATAAACTGGAAGTATAGACAAATTTTGTAAAGTTACTGATTAAAAGCTTAAAGTAATAGACTATAATTTAGGTCTTGCCACTTTATCAGCATAAAATCAGGGACAGTCAGCCACAGTTCTGCAAATTGTACCCAATAAAAATTACCTATCTACATGGCGACTCGGAGTTGGCTTAATAGCAACAGCAGGCTCTCCTTGTTCCGAAAGGGGCGCTCGCGTGTAAAGGTTGCTGTTATACGTATAGGCGTCCGCAGGAGAGTAGTCTGATCCACTGGAATGCTGAAAGATAGACCAAGACAGATTCAAGAATCACTAATGCTTACCTGAATGAGCATTTGTATCAGTGAACAACAACCTCCCACTACATTGTCAACAGCTTCCATTTAAGTGGTTGACAATTACATTAACAAATTATGACACATGTGGACCAAGACTTACTTGTAACAAGAAAAGCCATTAGAGCAAAGGTTAAATCTTGAAGTCAGTATTGTCCCATGAAAATCCTCTCAGCTCTATACAAAGCAGGTTATATGGGAAAAGTTGGTCGACAGCTGTATCAAGTTATGATTACTTAGGAGCAATAACTTCTGCTGCCCCACTGTACAACATGGTAATCACAGATAATGGCAATTTATCTATTTCCCGTACTTTAGACAAACTAGAAAAGTGAATGTTGAACGCTTTCAGCACAAAGCAATGATGAACATCTGTGAAGATGGATACATTCATCTTGATTTCAACATTACAAAATGTGTGCATGTACCTAAACATAAGATGGTATATAAAAATGTATAGTTTTGTGTGTTAATTTTTTAAAATAGGAAATTATTTCAAATAAAAAAATTGAGGAAGTGGAAACATGAAAATTAGCCTGGTAACAAATACAGATGAATAAACTTAGTTTTAGCATCCTATTAAAGTAAAATTATACCATCCTCCTATTTTTCTCATTTTTAAGTTGAACACATATTATTTTTATTTTTTTCATGGCAACACTTTTATCAGCCTTGTTTTCAAGAAGAAAATATACTGACTTTGAGTGTCAAAGAGTTCAGAATAATATAAGAATGGAGGCATTTCTCTCTCTCTTTTTTTTTCTCAGCTAATACACAGACTTGAACTTAGCAGATGCTACTAAGAGGAAGAGTGAGGTGCTTGGGTCTCTTAGAACACCACAGTTTTAAAGCTATGAAGAGGACATACTCAGATTAGGTGAAAAGAAAAAAAGGCCAGAAACACTACTGAAAGATTCTCCCATTGTTTCCTCAGGTAAAATCAAGTCTGACAGTGTTTCTGACAGACAATAATGCAAAGAAACTGCTTAAGCATTTCCACTGTCAGCAGGTTCGCTATGGAAATCCATGGTTAACAAAATTAGCAGAAACGGAGCTGAGCTTAAACACAGACAAGCAGGTAGTGTTAAAGTTGAAATATTATTCCTCAGGTACATAATCAAGACACTGCGCTTCACGAAACAATATAACATTTTTCATTCATTTAAATATCTGAGTTTGATTAATTCAGTTTATCACTTCCCCAGGAGAGAGCAGAGGCACTAAATTTGATGAGCAAATCTTACCATAGGGAACTATTTGATCAATTCTTAAGATTAAACTAAAGGGAGGAGTATAAGAAACTCCACCTTTTGCTTAGCTCTATACAGAACAACGCAAGGTCAGCCAGCAGGAAATCACGGGGGATGTGACTGGAGTGACTGGAGGCAGGAGAGAAGCCATGGCAGTGACTAAATGTGATGACTACATGGCCTTGACCATGGCCATGCCTGGGCCGAGGAAGTACAGCTGCTGAGTACTGCCACTCACACTCGTCTGTCAGTCCACGTCATCTGTTGCCTTTCAATTACACACACAAATCACCAGTTCCTGAATTACCCACATCTTGTCATAAGTTCATTTATTATAGCAGCAATAAAGTACAATAAAAGCTCTATCCTAGGGATATTGCGTTTTTGTGTGTACATTTTACATCACCATTACTTGGCCTCTTTTCCAACAAAATCTCAACGCATAAAATTCCCCCAAACCGCTAGCAGATTTTAAAACCTCTGAATCCACTTAAGTCACATAATAGAAAATGGATTACAACAGGAAAAGAATAACTCATTATAATAAAGTGCTCTCCACAATTTTTCTTTCAAAATTACTTATTCGCTGAAGAGTAGACATTTAGATTCTGGAAAGCTGAAATGCATTACTCTTTCCTTAAATATGCAAATTGAAAAAAATAACTCACAAGAGTAATTTTCTGAGGCATATCATCTATTTAAGATATGAATATTATAAGCTGGAAATTCTTCTGATTTGAAAATAGTCAATTGTAACTACAGCAACAGCAAGTGTACCATAACACTAGGTTGGATCACATTTTTTTTTTTTCTTCTAAAGAAGTTGTCCTCTAAACGGATAGGAAACTCATACTGATGAGGTCTATAAAACAGAGGCAAGGGCATCTGTGTGCCACCCAGTGTCCACAGCATTGAGGTCATCTAACTACTCATGTAGAGGAAAGGGCAGGCACAGAATCCACCTCCTCCCTTAGATGCAGCCAGAGAGGAAACAACACACCAGAAAACAAGCAAGTTCAAAGCAGTGCACTTGTGTGACTTTGAAAATGTCAGGAATTTAACTCAACATTGATTTCTAAGAACTGACCATGCAGGAACTATTTTAAGAAATGTGTGCTTCTCTGTAAAATTGGTGATAGCATGCCATTGACCATGGTTTGCTAATTCATTTGCTTATCACACATTTGGCACATTAGATAGATGTCTTTGACAATTAAGGAATGAAATAAAGGAAAAGAACTAGGCAGCAGGAGGATCTAGTCCTTGTTTACTGTTTTCAGTTCAAATTAGATCTCACTCATCTAATTTGTGGTCATCCCATTTGTGCTTGAGTCAATTTGAATTGGTTTCTCAGTAGAACACGAGAAAGCAAAGAAAAATCATTTTTAAGGGAGGTGAGAAGACAGTCAATTTCATGCCCTCGATTTCCTCCCTGAACAGGTTATAAGATAACTCAAAGCTTCCTAAATTCTTACACGACGCAACACAGGTTAAGATTTCTCAAGTTGTCCTCAGATTGTACATGAGCATCTGCACCTGAGAACTAAAGTTCAGAAAAAGGTTTGGTCCTTTATCTGGGCTGACAGGACTCACAAAAGGTTGGAATCAAGGAAGAAAAAAAAAAAAAAAAAGAAAGAAAGAAATCTCAGGATTCAGGAAAGAACTGCTTGAGACAGGCTTGCAGGAAATAGGTCTGAAAATGGAAACAGAAAAAAAAAGCAAGAAATTTAACCAAAAGCAGCAGGGACATTTGCTGGCAAGGAAAGTATGACACAAAGTCACCAAGGCCCCGGAGCAGTGGCAGAAGAGTCAAGCAGTAGGGAATGGTGCAGGCTGAGAGTCAGAACAACTGGCATAAAAACAAGCAAGAGATGAGCAATCTGGCTGCAGGAGAAGGTAGCATTCCATCACTGATTTCAGAACAATCTTCAGATCAGAATGGGAACACACGGAAATACAGGAGGACCCACAGATGATTGCCCTAGCTGCAAAAATAAGTGAAGTTAAAAGCTTTACCTCTGTGGATAATCTTTTAATTTCTTGCTTGCGTTGGTGTTCTGCTACACTTGCCACAGATTCAGCCAGCTGATAAAGATCTTGATCCATCGGTGCGCCCATGAAGTTCAGCATTGGTGGCTCCCAACCATTCCGGAAACGTGGGACATAAGGGGGTATAAACTGTTCTTTTGGCCACTCTGTCCTGGAGAAGAACAGTAAGACACAGAAGCAGTAAAAATTAACAAATGTACCCATGCTCACAATAATTGGTACACCTAGCCAAATCAACATAAAACCAAGCAACAAATAAAAAATACACACCCCTCTGTGCTCCATTCACCCAAAACAGAAAGCAAACATACTTATACTAATATGAAATGAAATAAATATTGAATTTTGTGGCACATCTCTTTTCTCCACATTCCCTAACTCTCCACTGAACTGAACTTCTTAACATGAATGCAGGGATTTACTGTTGTTGTTCCAGCTCTAGACACGACAGTGGAAGTCTTTACAACCCATATTCTGTTCTAGAATTCTGTCCTGCTTCAAGCCCTGAATCTTGGCCCTCTTTCTCATCCTTGCATTAGCTGTCTAGGATTTCAAGACTTCAGGTTTTTCATAGAAAGAATGCTAAATCAATGTCTTGATATACATGTTATAAGCAAAGAGCCATATTTAAAAGCATTAAGGGTACTAAATGCTAAATGAATATGTGCTTACCTGGTTTTCATCCAAGCTTCGCCCAGGGACATCCACAGCTGCCGTTCATCAGCACTGACCGTATGATTTAAGAAATCAATTGTGTCCTTAGTCAGGAGGGGGCTAAGCACGGTACTGGCTAGTTCAGGGCCTCCTGTTGCCTGTACCACCTAAAATGATAATAAATAGTATTTCAACACAAAGGCAACAATTACTTATATAATCTACACACTACATAGATTTTTAAAAACTGTGCCATCAACAGTAGTCAATCAAAACTGCTCCAAATTTATTTCTCAGGAGCTATTTTCTGGCTAGAAAGGGGTAGTTATCAACTAGAGCAGAAGCCAGAACACTTTTCTAAAAATCTCTTTTTCTCACAAATGTGGCACTAGATGGAAGAATTTTTTTCAATGATTTGGAAGGAGGCGTCACTATTTTATAGCTCTACTCTGAAATGAGTAGTAACTCATTCATCTGTGGAAGAGTATGAAAAAGTTACCCCACACTGCTTTGTAAACAGTGCTTCCTAACATTCAAATGAAAACAACCACAAAGGTGTGAAAAACAAACATTCTGTTAATGAGTTAGCAGCACTTTCTTTGCATAAGGATGGCTTTGATCTAATTTTTAAATGGGCTCATCCTGCAAGGACTATTCAACAACAGCTACATAAGCAGAAACCTGGAATTCTATATATAATATATGGAATGTGGGTACATTCATAAATCGTTGATGTAGTCTAGGGTTTCAATATATCTAACCCCTTATTGTTCACCTTCTGTCATTCATGCTGTTACTTCCCCATTTGTAAAGCAATATTGGCCCCACAATCTACTTCAGATCTTTTCAGTTACCCCTGGAGAAGATTTATTTTCCTTTTTGATCTTTGGACTCTTTTTCTCTTATTCTTCCTGATTTTAATGAACAATTCTGAGAAATGTTGAATTCACTTCATGAGAAGCATTAAAGAATTCAACTACCACAGTTGTCATATACTGTAAATCAAAAATAGTGAACAAGTATGCATATCTGTGTGTAAAACCACTAACTACTCCCTCTGCTTTCTGCTGCAGCATGTTCTGCAGGTCTCAATGTTTCTTAGTGTGGCATAAATATAATTTAGCTGTCCCTAAAGAGCAAAATGGTTATACGTAATGTAAACTTGGAAAAATTGCTATTATACTTTTTGCAACTATACTAAATGAAAAATGGGAAGGGAAGTATATTAGTACATCCCTTCTTTAAACAAAAAAGGAAGGAGCATACCCCCTGAGTGCTGAAATGTAGAAAATGATGATGTGGGTTTTTGGGGTCACAATCTATGATACAATCTTTTCCTTGATGAAATCATAGAACCCTCCAGTTCATTTCCAAAGGGAACTGTTAACAATACATAACTTTGCTTCAAAACTGTTTCTCATGCAAATACAAACAGCTATGTGCAAAACTGTATTATGTGCACATCATCACACCTGGCACACAGTAGGCAAGCCAATGCCTGCTAACTGTTCTCTGATTCTGTCCATTGTTTCCACGCTGAAAATGCACAGGGTTTAGTCAGTCCTTGCTTCTCTCCTTTATTTACAATAACTCCCCTGATGACATTATCCAATCTCACATCTTTAAATGTCTTCCCTATATAGATGGTTGTCCAATGTGTTGCTGGGCCTTATATCTCTACTGAACTCTAAATTCATACATGTGGCTATCAATTCAAATTTCCCCATTTTGAAGTAGATAAATGTGGGCATATTTTAAATTAAATTTTTTGTTTCCCTCAAAAGATTTATTCCACTTACCCCATACTGTCAAAACACAATGGTCAAAATCCTTGGAGATATTTTAAACAATATATTCCATATACCAAAAGATTGATATCTAGAATCAGACTTGTCACTTTTAGGTTCAAGTACTTGGCTCAAGCACTATGATTTCCTATTTGAGTCAATATATACCCTAAGTGCTTCTACATCAAAATATCTTTTTAGGTTTTATTTACTTATTTTATTTATTAAAAAAGCAGAGAGAGTGAGAGAGAAAGAGTGCTCCCACTGGTTCACACCCAAAATGCCTGCAAAGATTGGACCTAGGCAAGTCCTAAGCCTGAAGCTCAGAATTCAATCTGGATCTGCCACGTAGATACCATTCACAGGAAGCTAGAACCAGAAAAGTGCTGGTGACTCAAGCACAGGCCTTGTGACAGGGAATACGGGTGTCCCAAGCAGCATCTTACCACTCCACCAAATTCCCACATTCCTTCATACATTTCTATGTTGCAATGAGAGCAATAATTCTCTGGTATAAACCCTGAAATTGTCAAAGTACTCAAAATTCCCTAAAAAAAAAAACCAAAAACCAAAAAACAAACAAACAAACAAAAAAAACCAGAAAGATGTGTCCATTCCTGTTTTTACTTTGATGGGCTCATCTCCTTTGAATCGTCACATTGTTATTTTACTCAAGTCATAATACCTCTAAAACATGCTTCATATATTATTACTCAAAGCATTTACAATTAGCTTTCCTCTGTCTGAAATTCTTTTCCCTGAAAAATCAATGAGTCATTCCCTATTTCTTTTATTCCAATGACATTTTCTCAGTGAGACTTCCTTTTAATCAAATGCACAACACACACACACACACACACACACACACACACACACACACACACACACAAACCAGCAGTACTCTGTTTCCCTTCCTGCTCTGTATTTTCCAGTCAGTATTTAATCTTTAGAAAACCACATTATGTGTGTACTCATTTAGCATATTGGCTTCCCCTTCACATTATGATAGAATTCCAAGAGGGTAACATCTTTTGATTGCCTTGTTCCTGATGAGCTGTTATAATGCCAAGCACACGTGAAGCTCTCAATAAGTATTTGCTATTCACAAATGAGCCAACAAGTAAATCAGAGACCACTTAGGAGTTGGAAGAACATCTAAAGAATACGAATCTCCTAACAATTTCATGGAACAGAGCCGTCCACCCAGCACCATGGTTCTCACAACACTAAAGTCTCTTCATTCGTAAAATAATGTGTTGTTTCAAACACTTGACTTTTATACTCTCAATGTTTGCACAGATAGCAAAACTGGCACTCACCTAAGGAAATGAAAATGGCCCCAATTACTAGTAAAGACGGTTGGAGTTAAACACCATCAAGAATGATTATTTAAGCCAGCAAACTCTTACCATATTCAATGGAGTAAATAGAAAATGAACCAAATCTGCAGCACTGGGATTCTGGATGTGAGACTTCAATTTGGCCTGTAACATTAAAAACACAAATATGATGATGATATAACTGAATAGCATAAAGACACTCCAAGAGGTCCAACATAGACCCTTCCAGAGTATTTTCCTACCAGTTTTATTTTCGTATATACATTACCATACGCCAGAGAAAGAGAAATGAGTTACCAAAAAAAGGCAATAGAAGTTCTTATTTTTATACCAGTTCTCCTGGTTAGATTTTACTATCTCTTATTTTAATTAAAGACACATCAAAATGTGCATGACAAAAGAAATCTGAATATTAATTTTATTTATGAATTTAATCAAGATCATCCTAGCTAGAATTTGGTCTCTTTCATTTATTTCTTCTAGAATCATATAAAAAGATTTTCCACTTACCAGAAGATTAAATCCATGTTTAAATTTTTGGAAACAGTCAACAAACTCATCAGGAGGTGGAGGTTTTGCCCTCAGAGTTAAAACACCCTCTAATGAAATAAATGAGAATAAATGAAAAAACTATAATCACATTTATGCCTGGAAAGTTTGATGCGCACACTAGGCAGGCTACCTAGTTACTTTATTACACCTGCAAAGTAAGAATTAGAGCCAAAGTTTGACATTACTTCCTCTATGAAACTATCAGTTACCTACTCAATTTTATAAATACATCTGCCCTTCCTTGGGCCACTGATTGTGGTTATTGTTGTGAAGAGTATAAAACAAAATGGATTGCACTCATTAGGGTTTGAAAAGTAATAACAGACATGAATCAGATAATGTACATGGGTGTGCCTTCTAAGTGCTAGCAGGAGCTATAGCTAATGGGGGACAGGGAAATGGATACTTCGATGTGCTTCTCAGGTAAAGCAGCTTTTATGGTGGCATTTGCAATGTTTGTTTCATGACAATTGTGTGGGAAAAGCATCAGGATTAGATAAAAAGTAGCATGAGTTTAAAACATGCAAAAAATGGTTGTATGTATGCGCAACACCCAAACAGAAAAATATGGAAATGAAAGCATAGGCCAAGTTCAAATTATAGATGACCTTGTCAGAGTGTGATACTGTATAGAAACTGATGGAACACTTTGATAAAGCTAACATGCTTCATCAAAGAAGAATGAAGCGGCTGATTTAGAGCTTTGGGAAAAATGGTCTCACAGCATGGAGACTGCTTAGGAGCTGAGTAAACATGAAGCCAGCTAGAACTATATGCTGCTTGTGAAAACAAAAATGGAGGTAACTGAATACAGGAGATATCGAGAAAATAAAACTGGCATCTATTAGCTAGAGAATGGAGTCATAGAACAATCTGTGGTGTTGAATCTGTGTAAGATAAAATACACTTTACAGAGATTGGGGGAGAAACAAGTGGTCTGAGATACCAGAAATATGTCTAGTTTCAGATTATATAGACTTATTTCAGACACAGATCTAAAAGATAGAGCTGAGACTGAATATTTACTTTTCCTTTATATATTTCAATTTTTACCCTTTCCCCAAAGATAGCATAATAAACGTTAATCCAAAATTACAATTTTATAAAGTTTTAGGCTCCTAAACATGGCCTCACTACAGTAAACTTCAAATGTTTGTGCATCACTCTGTATGTGGATGTGCACCTTGGACTTTTATGTTGGAAAATTCATATCCACTGACATTTTAAAAAAAATATTGCAGAGAAAAAGCAACCATCTTATTACCAAACTAGTGAAGTTCTATATTTACAAAACATGCAAATATGAAACTTGAGCTATGATTTTCATTAGCACACACACATTTGACAATTGCTGATGAAAACTTGAGTTGGATGTCTGCCAACTAAATCTCGGGGTCTCAGGGACAAGGGACACACGCAAGGGTCTTTGCTACAAGGATTACTACAACCTGGCTCAACAGGCTCCCTAGGCTCAGTTGAATCCTGTCTCCATCCCCGGGACCACCCTGAGACAAGGAACCTTAGTCTAAATTTGGTGCAATGTTCCTGAACAACTCACAAGGACAGAAACTGCATAGCACTGGAGTCTTTACAAGATTAAAAGCATCTCTTGTTTGCATCACATTTTCTGCAAATAGGGTGTTTTGTCAATTACTTTATATAGCTGTCAGAGAAATTGCCAGGAATCTGATACTATGACAGCATTAATAACTTTGTGACTATTTTAAAATTTACATGATTGAAGTTGTACATTTTTTCATTTGATTGTTTACAGCCTGTGCCTATTTTTCTACTGGGCTATTGTTTAGTAGCACTATTGGGCCTCTGACTATAAAGCGAATTAAAAATATGTGATCTCAAAAGATAAAAAAGGAAAATAATAATTATGTGATAAAGACAATGCACTTTACCTCCTGGTCCTTTCTTTTTACTTTTCTTAGTTTTCTTTCTTCTGGAAAGCTCAGAAAATGCTTCTGCTGCTTTTTGGAGTTTCATAATGAAAAATTCAATGTCATCCAAAATGTGGTTTAAGATTTGCTGCAATTAGAAATTGTACAGTAAAAACAAAACCATTTCACCTGAGTCATGCACTGATAATCAATAATGAACAGACAATACTTTTCAAGAAAAGCACACAACACCTCCATATGCAAATGTAAAGTTCATGACTAATTCAAAGAAAAAGATTGTGTTAAATACACCTGTGGCTGATTCTGACATTTACATCTTTTCTTCAGTTTAAATTTGCCCTATTAGCAACGCCATCAACAAGCATTCACAATGTCTACTCAGATTATTAAGCACTCTAACCTTCTTGTAGTATTCTCCCACTCTATGTTGGGAGAAAAATGTTCTAAGAAATCTTTTGTTAGAACACTGAACACTTCTGTTTTCCAGATAAATGTCCCACTAAAACACCGGCAGTTTCATAAGATTAAAGCTATAGAGAATCAGGCGATAATAATACACATGCTAATCTATAATAACAGGACATTCATAGAGTTTTTATGTGGCATAATAAAATCAAGGCAGGGATCTTATCTGCTTAGGGACCACTGCAAAGTTTTGAGTATCATATACTGCAGGCTGACTGGACTTCTCTAGTACTTGTAAAATTAGACAATCTTCCAACTAAAGATCCAGGAATCAGTATTACGTACATTTCCAAGCATAACATGTAACTGCAATGTAAAAATGAAATTCCAAATTCTAACTTTTTTTCTTATATTTTTCTAGCTTTCAGACATTCTCGGATATTTTCTTAATAAATGCGAAGAAAATATATTTAAAGACCATTCAAATTACAAACACTGGGAAAAAGAAAAATTGGACAATTCCTCAAATATGCTTCAAATATGATAATTAAGCTTAAATTTATTTTAACTAGTTAAAATGCTAGTTCTAATTCATCATAAATTCACGAACCAAACATCTGCAGAAAAGAAAAAATGATTATGAATAAATGATTATTTAAATGGCATAACTATCTGAGAAGAGAAAAATGCAGAATTCATTTTATGCAGAAACCTTAGTATTCAAATGTATTGTGAGTGTGTGTGTGTGTGTATTTTTTTTTTCTTGTTTAGAAAAAGAGAAGGTCAGGAGCCAGTATTGTGATACAGGGTCTTAAGTCACACCTTTCAATGTCAGCATCCCATATCTCCTTGCTAGGGTAAGTCTTGGCTGCTCTGCTTCTAATCTGGCTCCCTGCTAATGGGCCTGCGAAGCTAGAAAAGATGGTCCAAGTGCTTGTGTCCTTAGAGATCACACGGGAGAGCAGCATGGAGCTTCAAGTCTCCTGGATCAGGGCATGAGAGATTTCCCTCTGTCTCTCTGTTGCTCTGTTTTTTAAGTGATCTTTTTTCTTAAAGCCAATCATCTAAAAATGACTATCACACTTACCACCTCTCTGTCAATCCGTGCTGCCATCATCTCGGGTGTTTCTTCCTGCTCATGATATTGCCTTGGTTTCTCAACTAAAGAAAAGGGAATCACAAATGTTTCAACCATTTCCTTAAGCAATTCCAACAGAAGTAATGAAAATATGTGTAGAAAAGTTTGCCACTTGCAAAACAAGTTAACAGCATTGGAACCACAAATCAACATTGGAGGTAACATTCATGCAACGAGTCCTTGCCACCACAAGCAGAAGCACTGGGTGAAGGTGAAGGATTGCCTTCCCATGATAGTACAGTATTTACTGACTCTGTGATGCCCCTCTGCTTTTTAACTTTCCAACAAAGTGAAGGAGCAACCTACAGAATAAAAGAAAACATCTGCAAGCTATAAATGTGATAAAGGATTAATATCCAGGATAAATAAAAAAAATGTTCAAGAAATTCAGCAAGAACAAAACAAATAATCCAATTAAGAAATGTGAAAGGAAATGAACAGGTATTATTCAAAGGATGAAAAACAAATAGCCAATAGACACATAAAATATTTGACATCTGTATACATAATTAAACATTTTTAAAGCTATAAATTGCACAGTCTGGCAATTAAGAAGCCAATATCCTACATCACAATACATGGATTTACTTCCCAGCTCCAGCCTGACAACGTAGATCCTAAGAACCAAGAGTTCAAAGGGTTGGTCACCCAGACCTGAACTGGATCCCTAACTCCTTGCTTAAGCTTCACCCCAGCTCCATCTAGTAGGGTCATTTGGAGATCAATGGATAGGAGCATGCTCTCTCTTTCTCTCTCTCTCTCTCTGTGCCTTGCACTCAAATAAACAAAAAATTAATTAAAAAATGAAAAATTTGTTTTACTAAATTCTATAGTAAAATAACAGGGCATGCAGTAGACACTTTAACATATCTATGTAATGAGAGTCTTTTACCCTTTCTCCACTGGCAAAGTCTTATCATTGTCTTTGATAGCCTTTTCATTAACTACAATAAATCTGGTAACAAGGGATCGTGGTGAGTTCACAATACATAGAAGGGATTTGAAGAACAATTTAAAAAAAAGATTCTTGTTTGGTATATATTTAACCACTTTAAAGAAGTTATTGGTCATGTGACACTTCATCTCAGTATTGAAAAAAGAATGATCTTAATCCTAACATTTCACACATTAAATGGCTGGCATGCAAAAATAATCTTAACCAAGGATAAACTTTACATCAATTAAACAGCATCAGAATTTGAAAGAAAGAGCCATTTACTCTAAGTAAATGTTCAGTACATACTCATCTGAGAAAATTAATAAAGCTGGAAATACTCACAGTCCCCTTGGTCAGCTGCCCACGCAGACCAGGCTGCCACCCGGCTTCGCACATCAACCTGGGTCATGGTCCCAGGGGGCACAGGGGCCGGCGCTCTGGGTGGAGGTGGGATGCCAGGTTCGGCTTTGGAAATCATCCTTTAGCAAGACAAACCGTTTATGTTATTAGTTCTTCAACCTCAAAAAGAAGCATATCAAGGGGCATTGATGATTTTCTCGCCACTCCCTATTAGGTAGATTTATAATAGGTTTAGGTAGGCTTATAAATAGGTTTTCTTCTTGGGCTCTTTTCAAAATTGTACACCAAATACACCCCTGAGGTCTAGTTTGAACTCCCATAGCCCATCTTCTCTTAAACCCCCATTCATCTTTCAGGACTCTCTCCATGACTTCCCACATTAGCAGGAGAAAGTTTAGGAGAAAAGCTCCTAAACATGGAAAGAAGAAAAAAGCAACCACATGATGATACAACAAGCAGAGCACTCAAGGTAAGACTGCAATAACATGCATCTGCTGAAAATAACTTTCCCAACCACTCAGGGTGGCCAAAGAAAGACGAGAGAAAGAATTCAATGTCTTAATTCCTTAATTTACCTCAGGGTATCAGGCCGCCTCTTCTGTTTCCCTCCCTTACTGTCACTGATAGCACTTTCGATATCTTCACTAATCAGGTTGGCCTGCAAGGAGAGACAAGTTACCTCCAGGGCTACAGATTTCCCCCAAGCCTTTCAAATGTCCATTCAAATGGGCAAAGGAACTAGGTCTATAGCCTGAGTCAATGTTTTCATTGCTTTCACTGCTTTCAAATTGTGGCTCTTGTGGGCGGGTGGGGATTGGTGATTTTCTGTTTGTTTTGTTTTTCCTGTAATGGCAAGATTTAAATGGACAGAATTTAAAAGCTGAAACAAGTTTTAAGGCCATTAAATCCAAATTCCCTTGGTTCTAAAATAGGTGTCCTTTTATAAGGCAAAGGTAAAAGGACTTCACATGGACTGCAAATTCAAGCAGGTGCTATAGATTAAGCTGTGTGATTCTTTCCTTCTGGGCAGAAACATATACATGTGGAGTAAATTTCCTTTCCTTTTCCATATTTAGTGCCTACTGGAGACTCATGGTCCCACCGGCATAAACTGTTGGGCCCCAACAAATACATTCTCAGTCACCGGCCTACCTACTGTACTTGTGGGATGCACCTCAGAAGCTTCCCCCTTTGGGATAACTATCTTATTTTGTCATTTCAGGTGAAAATTAACTTTCTGCAAAAAATACTTTCAAAACTCGGGAACCAATGTGGGGTTGGAAGCTACAGATTTTATTTTGTTTGGTGATCAAGTTTAACACCATTACACCACTTCTGAGATGCATTCATCCTCTATTTTTGTCCCTTCATGCTCCTGAAATTACATTTTCCTCAGCCATGCAGTTTGTATATTCTTACAATGAGCACTGATAATCAAAACATTCTAGAACTGAATGGACACTTAAAGATGTAGTCCATTCTCCTTTTGTTCTAATGGATGAAACTGACGAATCCTTCTATGAAGTGGCCTGAACGAGGTTATGCTAGCAGTTAACTTACAGGGTCAAGGTACCCAGTTCAGTGGTGCTTTATTTTTCAATAAGACATGGCACACATCACCAAAGACGTGTAGTGTAGGATATCAAAATTGAAGATGCCTAGGGACCTTGATTTTCTCATGGGGGGAGAGAAGGCTACTCTTTCTTAGGGGGAAAAATATTACGAAGGACAGCAAGAGCATTGTGTGAAGGGCCATGATAAATGAATACTCAAACTCAAAAGCAACATGGCAGGGGGATTAGATAAAGGAGATTCTATCATATCCACTGCACTGGTATGTTTAATCAGTCAAGGGAACAATGCCTGTTATGTGGACTATGGCACCAATAAGTAAATGCATACTGTTCTTAGTGAGTTTTTAGCAGAGCAAAAGAGAATTCAGTACATACAGTTGAACCTATTACTGTCACTATTACACATCAAATAAACCAAGCCCTTTGTTCAAGAAACTGAAATCCAGAAACTTTGCACACTATGGTAAGCATTATCTACCAGGAGGACTTTCACATCATGGGTCCAAATGTTAGATTTGAAATGATTTTTAACTTAGTACTCTGTTTTCAAAGTGCTTAACTTAAATTTCACCATATTCTCAGAGCAAAATATTCACTTTAGCATTCAGTGACTTAACACATCTAACCTAACAAATCCTTAATATACTTTATGACTTTCAGAAGGTATTCTACTATACAAAACCATGATTAACACATTACAAATTACCTAAAAGTCACATTTTTAGATATGAGATGCCTTAGAGGTTATCTTTAGGAATAGACTAAAATTTATAAAGTGATAAAACACACTGTTTACACTCAGCCCCAATGTACCTATTACAATTTAATCTCAAAACAATGTCAGGATACACTTAAATAACAATAATGAATTTATGTCTGTTTTTGAAGGAATATATTATTGTAATAATATAGGGGTATCAGTGAGTGAGGGAGGAAATATGGTGGGAGGAGAATTTAGGGGAGAGAGGGTATATGGGATAGCAGGGAAGGGAAACCACAGAGCCTATGGAACTGTATCATAAAACAAATTTTGAAAGAAAAAATTAATGTCAAAGAAATATAGAAAAGATCAGGTGTCTCATTATGATAATTTCCCAATTTTTTTTTGTAAGACAAATGTTGCCTGAATATTTATAGTATATAATCAAAACAAAAAAGAAATCACTGCTTTGGCAAGGTACTAATCAACAGAAAATGATTTTAATTAAATCAACTTAGGAAGATTGAAGATAACCTCTAAGGTTCAGTAAAGCATCACAAATTATAATCATCCAAAAATTGTAGTATACTCTAAAATAAAGAGCTTAAGACAGTCTATTATTACAGGTAACTATGTTCCATTATTTTCATATAGTATTTGAGGATTACAAATTTTTAGATATCCTCCAAGTAACATAATTAAATGATGCACTCTGTATCAATGATAAGGGACCTCTATTTGCGTCACTGCAATAACCTATGCTAGGTAGTTAATGCAGAATGAAATAGGATAGAATTATATTTATTTGTTGTCCACACATGACTTTTAAATATTTGATCTCCAAGTATAAGTCAATTTAGAAGGAATTTAATATATTATCCACAAGTTTTAAAAATACACAACACGGGCCCGGCGCGGTGGCGCAAGTGGTTAAGGTCCTCGCCCTGCACGCCTGGGATCCCATATGGGTGCTGGTTCTATCCCAGCAGCCCCGCTTCCCTTCCAGCTCCCTGCCTGTGGCCCGGGAAAGCAGTCGAGGACAGCCCAAAGCTTTGGGACCCTGCACCCGCGTGGGAGACCCGGAAGAGGCTCCTGGCTTTTGACCGGCATAGCACCGGCTGTGGCGCTCACTTGGGGAGTGAATCATCGGACGGAAGATCTTCCTCTCTGTCTGTCCTCTCTGTATATCCGCCTTTCCAATAAAAAATAATAATAAATAAATCTTTAAAAAAAATACACAACACATCTTGTTTTTTTAGTATCCTTCAAATTTCCCCTTTGTTTCATGGCCTGGAAATCCCAAAGAATGGAGTAAGGTATTTTTTTTTCTTGGTTAAAATTATCAAAAAGTAAAATGCTGGTATTCCAAACACCAATAATCAAAATAGGAGGGAACTTCACAGAGTTAATAGAAATACAATGATTATTTTGTGGTCAAAAAGTATGCATTCATTGCACTTTTTTCATGATACCCATTTTTTTGTGACTTTTTTGAAGACCTCTCATATAAATCTTAGAGGTTATCAAAACATCTTTTTAGAAGGCCAAACAAAAAAAAAAAATCACCCTCTTTTTACCTTAATCTCATCGCACTGGAAAAGATGAAGATCTGGCTTGTTCTGGGTTGGCTCTTTGCACACCAGGGCAAGGATAGAATTATAGCTGCATGCGTGCATCACTGCTTGGCAGTGCTGGATGGTACTTAGAGGAAAATTTTCCAGTTCATTCTAGAAACAAAGTAAATATTTTCTTTTGTAAGACTTCTGCCCATTGTCAAACAATCCGGTCTTTCTTTAAGTGAGTATTTATGGAGATTCTTAACAAATGAAACAGTAAAGGTTTCACACACTTGCCTTTGACTCTAAATCAATCAGGCTCACAGCTCTGTCATCCACTTGAAGAATCATGTCTTGAGTCCACACTTTGCCCTTGGCATCAAGCAATTTCAGCTTCCTTATCCCATCATCAACTGTTACCATAGCATCTTTTCGATCCAGCACAAAGGTAGTCAAGTGCTTACGATTGGCAAAAGAGAAAAAATGTTGGTAACATACACACACAACATCTTCGAGCACAGTTTCCAAAGGCAGCATTAATCTAACTGAGGACAAACACACAGTACTCTAGAACCTCATGATTATCTTATCAAGAATAAGATCATCCAGATTTGTGTTCAATACAGAAACCGTTAAGAACTGACTCACATCTGTGTCTGTTTTGTATTCTTCCATGCTGAGTTAAATGTAAGAGTCTTAACAGCCTAAATAACATTCTCTAAAAATAAACTCCACCCTCCATCTTACTCTTACGATGACTTCCCAGTTGAATAATCTATACGTCCGTTCCAAAGCTACAGATACAGACGCTTTGGCTGAACCTTAATAGCAATTCCATCTATAACAGCTTCTAACGGTCAATCTCACGAAGCCATTTACTGGAATAACAATTGTGTGATTTTAGCTATGCATGCTTCAAGTAGCAAACTGAAAATGAGGCCATTTAAAAATTATTTTATTGTTTGCTTTCTTTGACAGCAGAAGTTAATAAAGAAAGGTTTTAATTATAATTTTAAAAAGCCTTTATAATTACGAGCAAATTATTAGCAAGTAGATTTCAATTAGGAGCCACTGTCTTAGAGAATTATAGTAATGATCTCTAGATAAAACTAAATCTAAGTCACTTTCTAAAACAGTAAGAAGCTTAATTTCAAGAAGATTCTTACAGAACAAAATAGAAAATTTTGGCTTTCTTCTGACTGTCATTAAGGCTGACAGTGATCAATTAGCACAGTTATAATTTTAATGTATCTCTATGAATATAAACCCTGGACTAAAACATGTTTCACAAATAATATCTTAGTCTCCCAAAAATGTAAAGAAAATGTCAACACCACCTAAAATGCATCACAGAAATAAAAATGAAGCATCAATTTTATTTTGCTTTCAATCTTCATGTTCCTGAATGGTTATTTTAAATAGCAAATACCAAAGCATCTTACTTCCACACGATACCGGGATACATCTGACACAATGCTGACACTGTCCCGTGCATAATTCTTCCTCTGTTCTAAAAGAGAAATTTAAAAAGACATTATTTACTCACTAATAAATAGGCTAAAGTTCATATATGGTGTCATGTGGTCATTTACAAGCAGGTCTAGCTCACACAGAAATACAGAGTTAACAAGTCACCATTGTGTGCTATAGTTGAAACCATTCACTGTTCATAGTCAGTTGAAAAGCCCCATAGGCAGGGAGAGTTTGACTCAGTGATTTTTAAAACTCCAAAGTTATCAAGATTAGAAATCAGAAATAAAATTATTTCATCTAGGAAACAATTAGGAACATTCCGTCTGACAAAAAAGATGAAAATGACTTTGTAAACTGCATCTGTTCATGCACTGTGCTCAAAATACAATTGTAAATATTGTTATAGATAATGCAGTATATGAGTAGACACCATTATGAAATAATAGACAATATAAACTAATATCTCTTTATAACATCTGAACTACGGACAGTGTTGCAGGAGCTTCAAAACATGGTTCAATCACACTGGATGTCATTAATAGTTTTATCACACATTTATAGAACACACAAACAGAATATAGAAATAAGCTGTTAGATAAAATGAGAAAGTTAGGTATAAAAGTTTTGTACTAAACTGACGTAAAAAGCCAAAAGAAACCCAAAGAAGCCTTTCATTTTACTTTCTAAGATAAATGCTGCAAACTCAAAAATAATATTAAAATAAAAAATGTATTGGCATTGTTTAGTACTAGCTATTTTCTAACCAAGAATCTTGCGTATTTGCAAATTTACAATTTTCCTATTTCTTATAAAGCATAACGCTATCACGAAAAAGAACTCTGAGAACCCAAAGAATTTTTTTCTGTGTGTTCTAATCTAGCTTTGGCTCTGTCACTACATTAAATAGAAAACTAAACTTAAGCAAGACATTTATTGCTCAGGGCCTCAACATCCTCACTGTAAAATAAAATAGTCATGCAAGGTAAGATTAAAGGCCCTTCGGGTAGTAAACTTCTAACATACATACTCATATATACATATATGTATTCAGATGTATATATAAATATACTTCCTGGCTTCTTAATGAAAACATTTTTCGCCTAATATAGAAATCTGAAGATAATCCTAGATTAGTAAAGTTGAAAAACTGCTGAACATAAAGGTTACAATGTAAGTACAAAAATACAACCTACATTGGTACTCTGAAGGAAAATTTCCATACTTCTTATGTCAGTATCACTTACATTACTGTAATATGTTCTATTTTTGTTTTTGCAGCATTCAACTTACGTAAAAGGAAGACACACTATAAAAACCAATCTCTGCTACCTTTCTTTTTCTGTTTGGATGACGACCTGAAGAAGTATGATCCATCTGGTCCTATCAAGATAATGTGATCAAAAAGAAAGATCTGGTTTCACCTTGAATTTTTTATGATGCTTAACAACAACAAAAAAAGCCCTCACTACATAACTGTATTCAACACGTTTTAAAACGTAAACCACTCTGATTTTTCTAATTTCTCAGTGAGTTCTAATTAAGGTGAGATGTTAACACATGAATGATTACTCTTGGGAAAATGGCATCACTTTTGAAACACAAACCATATTTTAGGGAGCTAATGGACACAGCTCTCAGAAACAATCTCTGTTTCAGAAACACTGAATAATCTCAGCACAATGCTCTAGGATAGGAAGAACACGAGGGCAGCTCTGCTTCCTCACATAGCACCTGAGTCAGCAGAACACAGCACCATAATGTCACCCCGGGATTTGATGGCCAGCAGGTACCTCCAGGTGGCTCCAGGACGTCCAGTGCAGGTCACAACCCCCTACACTGACAAGCACTAAGCTTCTATTTCAAAAGTGAAAATGCTGGGCCAACCAGTGACTTAAAAGGCTAATCCTTGTAGTGCCACCTCATATGGGTGCAGGTTCCAATCCCAGCTGCTCCTCTCCCGATCCAGCCCCCTAGATATGTAAATCTTTCAAATAATAAAAATAAATCTTTACTTTTAGTTGCTTTTACAAGATACTACTTAGTAATTAATCTTAGGAGCCTGTTCATCAATGCATAAAAATGAGTCCTATCATGAAAAGAGGAGCTTCAAAATTTTAAGATAAGAAATTTGCCATCTTGCCTTTTGGAGTCACCTGTTAATACAGCATATTAAGCTGATTTTTTATGTTAATGTTGCCTAATTTCCTGATATTTTTCAATCATGAGTCATTTACTTAAAAATTTCAAAAGCTTGGCCTTATGCTATGTAGCAAGTTAAGCCTCCACCTGTGATTTTTGCATCCTATTTTGTTGTTCCACTTCCAATCCAGCTCCCTGCCAATGTACGCTGGAAAGCACTGAAAGATGGCGCAAGTGCTTGAGCCTCTATAACCATGTGGGATAACTGGAAGAAGCTCCAAGTTCCTGGCTTCAGCCTGGCCCATATCTGGCCATTGTGAATCAGTAGATGGAAGATTCTTTCTCTCTCCTCTAACTCTGCCTCTCAAATTAATATGAAAATAGATCTTCAAAAAATATTTTAAAAACTAGCATTCGTTCTTAAAAATAAGTTTTCTCCCAGTACAACATACACTGTATGTAATGAGGATATAAAAACGAGATTTAACTGATTTAGAATTCTATTTTTTCTAAGGCCGGAGAGGCAGGCAAATAGACAGAAGTCCTCAGCACAATGACTCTTCAAATACCTATAGAACAGCCAGGGCTAGGTCAGGAACAGTGACACACAAACTTGGAATGCAATGCAGTTCTACGTGGGTGACAGAAATCCAGTCATTGAGTCATACAGCTGCTTCCTGAGGTCTGCATTAGCAGGAAGCTTGAGACAGGAGTCAGAGCTGGGAATTGAACCCAGGTACCTGTGGTGCAGGTGTCTTAAACACCTTGCACCCACAATACCTAATACTAACTCCCTAGCAGCACTGGAAATAGGAAAAACACTTACCTGGAATTCAATTATGTCAATTAAACAGAGAGGTTAGCTCTGAAACTACAAGATCAGGAGCAAGGTGGGTAGAAAAAAAATGGAAACATAAAAACAAACAACAAAGACGTGCTTATAGGTATCGGCTAAGAAGATTACCTACTATATTATGCAATTACACACTTCAAAGTTAACTGAGTGTATTTATAACTAACAAATTGATACTTCTATGATACTTAAGGTTTTCTGGAGACAATATTATACTGTATACTTTTCAATAAAGAAAAGCCTAGGAGATTGGATTTTGAATGCTTTTGCTATAAAAAAATTAAAAAGGCTTAAGAGGATAAATGTTTGTATCATCTTTGGATACCACATAATGTACATATGTAATGAAAAATCATATTATGTATTCCTTAAATACATAGCTCTATATATCTGTGAAAGTTCTTTAAAAGAATATTTTGTTGACACAACTCCATTTCTCACTCTTACCTACTTTTCCAGGCCACTGCTACCAAAAGCAATGCTAGAAGTTCCACGTTCACAACCGGAGACTGTGACAGGCTTTGGAACCTTTTTTCATGGAAAAGCAGCCCCAAGTATTGAGAAGGAAGGCAAAGTTGAACTATTTGGTGCAAGGACTCGATGTCAAGGTGAGGAATGTCACTTTGGAGCTCTTCTCCACACTTAGCAGTGGGCATACCCTAGCACTTGGGGTCACCAAGCGGTGTCAGGTGCCACACCTTGGGAGAAGGGAATGTTTAACATATTTCCCAGCTACAGGACAACTTTGAAATTGAAAAGTTTCAATGAAATTGAAACTAGTCCTCCTCAGCAGAAAAGACAGAGTAGTGGACATTGGGCCAGACCCACATGGAGGATATGGGAGCTCACTGGGCCCTGCAGGGGACATCTGTAGCATCCCAGAGGAGGAAGCTAGAATAAATTGGATAACTACTCTGGCCAAATGATGCCAGCAAATTTCTGGGCAAATGGAGACTCTGAGGTTGACTGCGTCAGCCAGTGGACATTGAAAGATGTCCCTCATCCTGGGAACAGCGAGACTGACAACATTTCAGAACTATAAAAACCACTTGGGCAGAACCCTCAGTGAGTGTATCACATTGGGACCCTGTGTTGATATCTGGTGCCCATTCCCCATCCCTGGGTAGTGGGGCAGCTGGGAGGCTTGGTATGGCTTCTCCCCTTATCCCCCTGCCCTAGCTTGAAACAGAACGGAGAAATTGAAAATTTGGGAACAATGATCATACCCACTTTTCCCTAACCCTTGATCCACCCGTCTCCGATCAACTATGTTAACATCTTCTGAAATTAAATTTTTAAAAAGAAATGAAACTGAAAGAATTCTGCTAGGAAATAAAGAGGCTAAATCTATACACATAAGGGATCTACAAAAGCACATGAGAAATGAGTATTAACTAACAGTCCCTAAATGAGATGCTGCTTTCATGAAACATTTTCCCAAATAAGAGTTACAACGTTGTCAGAGATACTAGTGTTCCAGAGCTTTCCCATGCTGGCTTGAAAATTTCTTGTATAATAATGAATAAATGACAAAATAGAGTAATTAATACTATTGCTTTTACAGACATATAAAATTATGCATATTTATGGGATTATATTATACAATACTTAAAGACCATGATGAATCTTAGGCCAGAGACAAAAAGTGACCCTTCAATACTATTCCCTATCTCCATGTTCAGGTTATTACTTACATGTCCTCATACAAATGGACCACAGTATTATTATCAGGTATATTATATAGATGCCAAAACTGAGGTTAATAGGCTAAATTATTTGCTCAAAAGAGCATATTTAGATAGAAGTGTCATGATTCTCTACTGAGCCCTTTGCCTCTAAAATCTGCATTTAAGAGAAGCAGTCCATGCTGTTTTTCACCATATGTAGGTTTTCCATAAAATTCCTGAAGACCTCCCCTTTGAATGCATGAATTTCAAAAAAGTTTGTACCGCTGTCCATGAACTTTGGGACGTGTTGTCCTATGATGGGTCCTATTATAACTATTAAATAAGTATTTTTTAAACATATTCACCAAAGCTACAATTAAGAACTATTATAATTAAGTAAAATACTCAAGAAAATTGAGTATTACAATCAGCATGACAGAGTCATAAAGATGTATAAAAGTATGATATTAAATCTTTTTTATGAATTATGATGTTTATGAAATTCAAAATCTGAGTTTAAAGCCTATTCACTAAGAATAAGGACATTACAAGAGTCACACAACCTCACAACTGCTCATTGCTACAAAGCCAACAGGTTGTAGATCTAGACAATGTAAGGAGAAAAAATTCTACAACTGAGAAAATGTTTCTGTTTCTACAAGACACAACATTGAAGACAATATCAATGGTAGCAACAGCAAATAGATTCTGTGTCTTCCTACTTACAAAGCACTACCCTAAATGGTGTGTGTGTATTAATTCACTTAATACCTCAACCCTTTGACATATTCTACTACACAGAAGAGTAAAATGAAGTAGACAGGTGAAATAACCTCTCCAAGATCATTTAGATAGTAAATTTAACATCTAGGCAGTCTGATACCAGAACCTTTTCTATTAAACATATTGCTATCTTGGTAATTATTAGGTAATAATAAAAAAGACCATGGCAATTGTATGCAAATAAATGCCTTCTAAATATACATGGCGTATTCAGGAGTCCTCAATTTCTTCTCCATTTTCTACTTGAAGTTCGAAATAATCGGTGTATAAGTGAGATAATCTAGAGTGGCCACTGAAAGTAAGAAGGATGGGGAAATGTTTGATTGCTCAGAAAGGAACAGCGTTAGGACTGCGATCTGAAAAACTGAAAGGCTATACAGAGAAAGTTCTTTATGGAGAAAGTTCTCTGACTGTAATCCCACAATCAGTAGGAAGGATTACAACGATCCACAAACACATTACAAATCATAACTGGAAAACCCCAGGTAAACTACTGGTGTAATGTAATAGACACCCAAAACAACTGCAATATGCTTTGCCTGTATTTAGAAATTATATGACAAAAAAAAAAGAAATTATATGACAGCCACCAAATTCTGTAGAGTTGGCAAATTTGTAAAAACCTTTCTTTTTAGTTTTAAATAGCTTTTTAAAATTTTCTAATTAATACTTAACAGATGAGATACAATTCTAAGAACACAGTGACATATCCCTTGGTGGTTAAAAACTCTTCTTTAAAATCATCTATATCTAGTTATCAGCACATCCTTCCAAAGAATAAAAACTAAATCTAGATTCAAATTATGACCCACCTGGATAGAATTTGTAAAACATTGTTAGAAACAGAAACATACTCCATCGAATCTACCTACCATAAAGGGCCTTTGCACTTGTTTTTGAACTGTGCTCTCTGTCCATCTGGGAATAGGTAGATGATGAACCGTAGCCACTGTAATAAAAAAGATGGTGATTGTGCTGAGTTGTAGTCAAGGCAAGGAAGAAATGTTCAGGATTAGAAAACACAAATACCAATAACCATCATCATGTTTTATACACACCCTGCCCTGGTAAGTGGTGAAGAGATGATAACGCAAACCACCTAACCTCAGTGAAGTCTAAGGCTGTACAAATCAGCCTCCTCTCAAGTATCAAGTTGGAACTGGGGTCATGGGCAATGACTAAGATTGCAACTCTCTTAGAAGAGTGTGAGTTGGTCACATTCAGGCATGAGCTAAGTAAGTTCCAATGGAGTTAGGACCATTATGAAAGAACCGCATTTTTAACAAATATTTGAAATACCATAAACCCAAGTAATTTGGGATTAAATATGACCCATTTTATCCTATAAGTTGCTTGTTACCAATATGCTATATGAAGTAAACACTGGCTTATTTGAGTCTTACGTATTTATTCAGTATGGATTTATTAAGCTCCTAAAGCTAGGAGAGTAAGGAGTTAAGGGAGAGGAAGTAAGTAAAACAGTTACTACAGGATTTAATACCTGGGTAAATCAACGTATGCAACAGGTAAGACCAAACAAGGAGTAAATTTTTTCAAGTTTTGCAAGACTTTACTTAAGTGAATCTATAAAGAATGTAAAGACACTCAGTAGACAGGTAGAGAACCAAGTAAGGAGAAAATATATAGAATGGATTCAAGAGTAGCCAAGTGCTTTTCAGAAAGTCTACTGAATGGCAAGTGCTCAAGAGTTAGTGAATGAATGTAGTAAAAGCAGCCGGACTGAAGGCTTTCACATCACATTTGACAACTAGATATTCATTCTCTCTAGGTAGTATTCATTAAGTGTTGTGAAATTTAACCCTCCTCAAATGTCAATATAGTTTGAGTAACAATAATAGAAAGCTCAAGAAAAGCTCAAAGTTCTGAAACAGAGCATCAATTTAACTTTGAAAAATAATTATGATAAAAACATCAGAATGCAACATTTCTCAATTATGAGATCTCTAACACCACATAATTACTTCATCATTTTACTCTTTACAAACACAGCAAACCTTTAATGAAAACATGTTAGTAATAAAAAAAGATAGTATCTTAATGAGAAATAAACTACATTAAGAAATGAGACATTTTCATTTAAAATATAAAAAAGGTGCAGGCATTTAATATGGCAACAAATACATTGCTTAGTTACCAATATTCCATATCCGAGTGCGGGGGTTCAAATTACAACTCCACCTCCGATTATAGTTCCCATTAATGTGCACGCTGCGAGGCAAAGCTGTTAGTTCAAGTACATGGGTCCCTGCCACTCACAAGGGAGACCCAGACAGAGTTTCAGGCTCCTGGTTTTAGACCCAGTCTAACTATTATGAGTATCTAGGGGACAAATATGAATCTCCCTCTCTGCCATTTAAATAAATAAATAAACAAATGCCATTCAAATAATTAGTAATTAAAGCTGCTAATTCAAATCCCCCTCCCCAAAGAGAATAAATATGAATCTTTCAACTTACTTTACTGGAGTTGAGTACATTCCGTAACCACTGGGATTAGAAATATGACCATTCATTGTGTCTTGCACTGCTGTGTTGGAAAAAAAACATAATAAAAGTGCACAGATTAAAGGCAATAAAAGCATCAGGTACTTCAGCCTCAAGTTATTCATTCCACATGTATCTGGCCCTTGCGGGCATGGTACTAGAGATAAACTAATAAAAGATCTCCACTCTCATAGAAGCCAGGATCCAGAGGTAGAAGCCGACATGAAAACAAAAACACAAATGGTATTGAATGTGAATATGCTAGCATTTCAAGTAAACTTAGGTGAGGAACAGGAAAATCCACAAGCCTTCCTGAGTCTTCTAAGTCTTACAAACATCATTGCTGTACGTGGCCTGCTCAAACTCCTTAGTGTCAACTTGGAGATAACTTTTTATTATTTTAACTAAAAAAAAAAAAAGACTAATTGCATTTGGAAACTTGGAAAGTAGAGAAAAGCACTAAGGAAAAGAATACTACCCAGAGCCCTATCACATAAAGATGGCATTTGAAAGTCCCATCATCAACTGCTTTCTGGTCATTCTTTCTGCACATACTTATCCTCCCTTCCTCTGTCCCTTCTTTTACTTTCCCATGTCTTCAAATGACATCTGGCAACATCTTATAAACACATGCTTGAATACAACTTTTTTTTTTCCAACAAAGTGCTCATTTTGTCATTTCTCTTAAGAAATGACCTCACAAATCAACTCTGATACTTTAGAAAACATTTTAAAAATCTGTTTTACAAATGGACAAAGTCACCTCAAACAAATGAAAACAACTGAAACTTTCTACCAAGTGAAATAGCTTTCCCTTTTTTCTTCTAGACAACAGCTACATCTGGATTATTTCTATTTACTCCAGGATATTTGGCCTTCTCTGAATTCTGTGCTACTCAATTAGTCTGAATCTCATCTCAGTTTCCTAACTTTTACCCTTGTATACACATTAGAGTGCTATGCCCTCTCAATGACTAAGAGTTAAGCAGGAGGTGCCCCAGATTTACGATAAGAGCATAGTACCATAGAAGCGCTAACCACCATAGCAAGACTATTATGTGGTTCTGTGAAAACTACTAGGACCACTAACATGGACCAGACTTTGTTCCAACTATAGGCCCAACTGTCTAGTGGAGAAAGAATAGGCATATAATTAATAAACATAAAAGTATAAACTTCACTATTACAAAGGGAAAATTCAGGGTGACAAAGGGGTAGACAATGAAGAAATTTAATTCCGATTGGGAAGGCAAAGAAAATCTCCATAAAGGCATTTTATTTGAGAACTGATTGTTTATTTCTTAGCTTTCCATTCAGTTCCAATGTGCTCAGGAAAGTTTTACTGACTAAATTGTAACATCAGAAACTCTCTACTTCTTCATAAACAGTTCTTTTCAAAATACATACAATTTTCATTTACTTAAATTAATTCCCGACTCTTTGCTAGACTATTAGCTCTAAAGGAATGGATGTTTGACAACTGTGTTTCTTAAGAAATAAGAAGGGGGGGAAGTGTTTGGGACAGAGAGTTACAGTTACCAGTTGAGACACCCAGCACCAGTTGAGATGTGTATCACAGTTGTGAGCCCTGACTACCCTGCTTCCAATCCAGCTTCCTCCTGATGCACCTGAGAAGGCAACAGGTGAGAGCAGGTACATGTGGGGAGAGGTTGATGGTGTCCCTTGGGGGAGTGATCCAGTGTCAAGATTCTCTCCTCCCAACTGCTTATACGTCCCTTCCCAACCCTTCCTCTCTCCCCTCCACACTCCCCCTTTCTCTCTTTTCTAAAACAAATGCATCAAGAATAGAATTGCTGTCCATTATATATGTTTCAGAGTCATAGGGAAGCAAACGTCTCCATCCTCAAACAACTGACTGTATTCTTAGAGATAAAATTAATTCAAATGAGGCATATATAGAAAAGTCCTAACACACATGGATCTGTTTGAAATCTAACACGGGCTGAGACGAGTGAAAAGCCCTGCAGATCATCACAGCCCCTTGACCTAGTTCTGAAAACATAATGTACAATGGTTCTCTAAACATTCAGGCTCAATTAAGCTTTTGTAATAGTGCTGTGCCTAATTATCTGCTACTTAAAAGCAAATTCCTAACTCAAAAAGCCAGAAAATACTGACTTCTATTCTGCAGCTATAAATGTATGTTTACATTACCTATTTCTATTCTTTTGTTGTTTCCATGCAACAATCTGGATTTAGGTATAACTGTAAACCTATCAGGAGTGGGATAACCTGATATGTCAGTGATTACCGATTTCTACAGTAGAAATATTTCCACCATGGCTGATTTCAAGTAAGCAGTAGTCTAACAGCAGTTTACAAACTCCCTAAGCATTTCACAATGAGCTCTCATATAGCCATAGGAGTGCACCATTGCTACATCCTAGAATTGAGGCCAAGACAAGAGACCTGAAATAACATTGTTGATGGAGAGCTAATAGGCTTAGGATACGAGCACTTACGATTAGAGACTGGAATTCAAACACTATTTCTGACTGTACACAGCCTAGGAAATTTAAGCCTCTGATTCAATCCTCTTATCAGTAAACCAGAGGTACACTCTATGGTAAGCTCACATAGCTAGCTAGTGCAAAGATCAAGGGGGCAGACATGGAAATTTTGTCCAAAGATAACCACAACAAAAAATGTGTTCTTGTTGTGGTTAACAACAAGGTGCTTCGTTCAGTATAAACGTTAAAATTCCCAGGCTTTGCATGGATTTTGATCTGGTTTGCATTTCAAAGCCACGACAGCTGGTTTTCATGAAAAATAATAATCACAGCATTTCATCTTTTCATGTTTAATTCTACATGACAGTCAAATAAACACATGGTTTGTGTTTAGAGTTAAAAAAGCGACCTGTTGGAATAAAAGAACCTTAGAAACGGGATTAGAAAATGTCAAATTGCTAAATTGAATTTTAAATATAGAAACTTTCCTCACTTGTCACAGTTGTTCATGTGGCAATATGGAGGCTTTCAAATATTTAAACAGAAAACCATCACCATAAACACCCTGCAAAAGAAATAAATGCTCATCTTTTCTTCTTAGACTTTTAAGACTGCTACAATGTATACCTATAAGGATTATAGATATGATTTAAAAAATAATCAATCCTCAATGAAAAATTACGTGCTTTATTTTCCCAAACTGTTAAAGCAATTTTAAAATGAGACCAAGTCTTCTTTACTAGTTTAAGGACTCACATGCAGTTAATTATACTCAATTAACTACTTAATTAATCAAGACTATACAATAACACCATCATTGCTCCAACAGTTTGACTTGAACTAGCAGACTTAGGCTTCTTATGGAGCCTGGAGCAGTGGCATAGCATCCTAACCATAAGCCTGCAGTGTTGGCATCCCATATGGGCACTGGTTCATGTACTGGGTGTTCTACCTCTGATCCAGCTCCATGCTTATGGAATGGGATTTAAGCAGAAGATGGCCCAAAGCCTTGGGTCCCGGAACCCACATAGGAGACCCAGAGGAAGCTCCTGGCTCTTGGCTTTGGATTGGCAAGGCTCCAGCCATTGTAGCCATTTAGGGAGTGAACCAGTGGATGGAAGATCTCTCTGTCTCTCCTTTTCTCTGTAAATCTGCCTTTCCAATAGAAATAAGTAAATTAAAAAAAAAAAAAAAAGACTTCTTATCAGCCATGGTCACAATAATGTTCTTCCTACTTTCCACACATAACATTATTTGGCAATTATAAGGAAAAAATTGAAAAAAATTAAAGGCCTAAGTTAAACACATCCAAAATGTTAAACTCTGGCATTTTCAAAGAAAAAGAAATAAAATGTGAGCAACCACTGTAGGAAGAGAAAATAGGGTTATCATAAGATTAAACCCGCAACTTAAATTAGTACCAGAAATTTTTAACTTTCCAAATATAAGTAATTAGAATTTCAGAATGTCTTGTCTTTGCTTTTGTTTGCATCTGATATTAATTTTCACAGTGATGACTGAACACCTAGTCATGATTGAACTACTTCACAATTCAATACACAGTAATAACACTGGGAGTTTTGTGTGGGCCACTGTATGCTTATATTTCATAGGATAATTTTGAACTGGGTTTCTCTGATGTGTTTCTCATGACTGTCCTGGATTTACTTGGGTCGTGGAAGAAGTCTGCAGAAATAATCTATCTTTCCTATTCGTCATACTTAGATATGTGCTAGTGGTGTGACTTAGCCTAGGATTTTCACAGTCACTGACCAGGGTAAGATGTGTCATGCTACCCTCTGGCACTAACACCAAGTCACTTAATCACAGGCCATGCTTATGGAATTGTTAGGCTCCAACTCATTAACTGGGTGTCCCTGCAAACATTATTTAGAATTTTGTCATATGAGAGACTTGTCTATTCTCCAGCACGTATTTATTGATTCTGTGTAGGGCCTATTTGTTTCCCTCTTAAATGGAGGCTTCCTAAAGACTCAAATTCATCAAATAGAAATTCAATGAATTTTTTTTTTTTTTGAGTGACTCAGACAAGAACTGAGCTCCACAGCATTCCAGTGAAAGGTGAAAAATACTGGTTAATAAAAAGCAGCAACTGGAGAAATGAGGGCATGGAGAGATCCGGTACTTAAAAAGGATGTTGGCGAACACCACGAAAAGTTGATCAGAATTTTAAAATCTAAACTCAAGCAAAGAAGGTAGGATCACCCCAGAAGCACAGTGATTGGGTACCAATTCTTAAAAGAGGCAAAAGTATTCACTGTGGGAATTTTCTCCCAGGATAAAGAAAATAAAAGCAGAACTTGCTGCCAGCTCAACTCTCCATTAAACAGATTTCAGGGGGTGAAATTTTAAAAATTTATTATGGGGAAATTTGCTACACCCACCCTACCCCATTACCAGATTTTTTTTTTTCATATTTCTCTCTCTCTCTGTTTTGTTTTGTTTTGTTTTTGTAAATCAGCCTTGAGAAAGAGTATTCACTGATATTCTAAGAACCATAGTGAATGGGAAGGTTCCAAATTAAGTTTGTACCATTGAATAGAACACTAAA